TTAACATGAGAGTTAGAATGATCAATTGCTTTTCCTTCAGCTAGTTACATACCAGCTTTATCCAGCTATGACCTTTGCAATTCGGAAGTTGTACATATCTTTGTAACTGCTTTTCAGTTTTCCTACTGTCCCTAAAGTTTAAAATTAAATGCAATTGAAGAGAACAAAGGGAAGTTAATCACAGTACCATTTGCTTCTTGGTTCGTGCTTAGTGTTCTCTGCCCCTCCAAGGCTGGATTGTTCTCCACTGGCATGGTAATGCTTCTTTATGCACTCTTCTGATACACAGCTGGTCTCGTGAAAAGATATGGCAGTAAATGAGAGAAAAAGTGAATGTAGTCATACTTGAATATGACTACTCAGATACTTTGATTTAGCTTTTGATAGTGTATGGCTAGTCTTGAATGTGAGCTTCATGCTGTTGAACTGCAGTAGATGATAACTGAAGGGATGTGTCACCTGCAGTGTAATCCAAGTCGTGCATCAAGGGGCTATTCTGCATAGAATACATGCAAATAGGGGAGCTTTGTCTTTCCAAGTTGAAGTCAAGACTTTAACGTTATTAAAACTGTGATGGTGAGAATCTGTTACTCCCATTTTATGAGTCCAATGCATGAATGTATTCAGAAGTCCCAGTTTGAAAGCATTTGATTTTGTGTACTTTTTCCTGTTCTTCTGAAAGTATATTCAAGAGGTGGATTGAAGATTTAGGCTTGAAAAGTTCCTCAATTAAAATAAAAAATAAAAATATTAAAGTAATGACAACAATAAAAAACACAACAAAAAAAACTGTGGGAAAATACTTCATTAATGGACTTCTTTTAGTTTGAATATGTTTTTTAATAGAGAGATGTGTTAATTCGAGAATTAACAATAACTAATTGATAATTATCCATATCAACTTTGACTTCTCCAATTGGTTGCTTGTCAGCATCTAATTTATAATGACTACTGATTCCAGGAACACATTCTAAACATGATGAATGAGTGAAAGACTAAAGCCAGGAGGTGGCTTCAATGGCAGTTAGGTAACAGTTGAAGAACAGCTGACTTTAAAAGCATTCACCGTTGCCCCCTTTTATGCAGACACTGGCCAGTGGCCACAGTATGCTTGGCATTATGGTCAGCAGTATATAGCGGCTTAGTCCAGACTAAGTTATTTCCTTAGCACGTGTCCACAACTTGTGGCCTAAGAGGGACCAATTCTCTTTCTAGATGAGAGTTTAGCTGTCACCTTTCCCTTTGGTTCCTGGGATACTTAAAGCCCCCGCGCACCTTAAGCTGGAGGAAGGACTTTCACTGGGCAGTTGAGGGGAGTGATGTGATGGACACTAGAGTTCAGCTTTCCTTCGTCATTATGCTGGACTAGCTAACTGTCCAGCTGATATTATCCTCCTTTAAAAAGACTGTTGAATCTTGAGTTTTCTTGCATCATATTCTGTATTCCTACTGTGCTGCAGCTGTGGTTCTGCAGGAAGCTGTATCTAGCAAACTTAACTGTGTTTTAGGAGGGAACATGCAGGAGAGGAGGAGCAGCAGAGGGGAGAAACACATTCCTGAGAGTCCACATTAAGGAGTGTGAAGAGTACGGGAGCCTGGTCATTTATAAAAGTTGTCCGCCACCTTTAAGCAGCTGTTCTGATTCTGTGAGTTTCCATGCAGTGTTTGAAAATCTTGGGAAGCCACAGACGTTTGATTCACGTACTGAGGCAGATTTTATTTTGTACCCAGTGCCAGAGCCTTCTGGCTAAGATTACTCTGATGCAAGCCCTGCTCCCAGCTCTCACTTCACTAAGGAGCAACATTTTTGGTACATGTCAGGTCTGGACTTAGTCCTCAACTGTTTTATGACCACTTCCTGTGTTTGTAGCTGGACATTGGGTCTTGGCCGTGAAAGTGAGATTTACTTGGGATTATGACAATTTTCTGTGAGCTTTAAGTAATTCCCGACACAGATGTTTTGGAGAAAGAAATGCACTTTTGTATTCTGTGGCTTCAAAACGTACTAGGAAAAAAAAGGGTAATGTTAACGTAGCCCAGCTCAAATCAGCTGTTCCTAATGTGTTCCCTAACCCACTATGAAAACAATCTTTGTGACTAGTTGGTGTTAATAAATTATTAGCTATAGGTATCTAACTGTATTCCGATAGTCTGAGGGCAATCTCTCCATTGTTCATATGCTTGTAATCCAGTATTGGTCTAACACTGTGTATATGTTTGCATGAGAATAACTTTTCTTCTAGTTTATAATGGAAATAGTGAAAGTAGAGAGTTCTGTGAAAAGGAACAATGAGCTTAAACAGGATTTGGCTGGAACCTAACAGCCGTTTGATCCATATCCAGCTGTAAGGGCCAGCCAGATGTGTCTTCCTTCCATGTGACAGCGGTGGGAAATAACTTGGAGAGCCAGCCTGGTGCTTCAGGGGCCTGTGGTAGTTCAGACACGATCTGCAATGAATCTGGTGGTGGAGGGGCTGTGTGTCTCCCTTCTCGCATGATATCTCTTTCTGCTTTGCTTTATCCTTCTTTCTTGGCCTGCCCCATATCTTTTCAGTCTTTTGATGTTCTGTTGTTACTTCTGTTTTGGTTGAGCTTATTCTCTCTTAAAATTTTCCCCTTGTAACAGAGCTTTAATTACTGAGCAGATGTGTCATTCTGCCTTCTCTAACTGCCTCTCTCTCATCTTCATCATGAATCTGACTTTTTAGCTCATTAATTCCTGTGGAGCTGGAACTCTTTGCTAGTTAAAGACACTAAAAAAACAATTCTTATCAGATCTTGCTGCAGTTCTGTAAACAAACTACTTAATCATGCTTTTATGTTAACACTAAAGAAACAAACAAAACCTTGTTGCACTGTGATCAAAAACAAATAAATAAAAACTGCAGTCTGAATATTGAGATACTTTTCCTTCCTTTGTGTGTGTTGGATTGTTTTTTTTTTATTCTCTGTAATGCTCTCTGGAAAAATAGGATTTAACTTTAGAGACTTAGAATCATAGAATAGTTAGGGTTAGAAAGGACCTTAAGATCATCTAGTTCCAACCCCCCTGCCATGGGCAGGGATACCTCACCCTAAACCATGTCACCCAAGGCTCTGTCCAACCTGGCCTTGAACACTGCCAGGGATGGAGCGTTCACAACTTCCCTGGGCAATCCATTCCAGTGCCTCACCACCCTTACAGTAAAGAACTTCTTCCTTATGTCCAATCTAAACTTCCCCTGTTTAAGTTTTAACCCATTACCCCTTGTCCTATCACTACAGTCCCTAATGAAGAGTCCCTCTTCAGCATCCCTACAGGCCCCCTTCAGATACTGGAAAGCTGCTATGAGGTCTCCATGCAGCCTTCTCTTCTACGGGCTTTCTCAGCCTGTCTTCATACGGGAGGTGCTCCAGTCCCCTGACCATCCTCGTGGCCTTCCTCTGGACTTGTTCCAACAGTTCCATGTCCTTTTTATGTTGAGGACACCAGAACTGTACACAATACTCCAATTTAATTAAATGGAAATTAATCGAATATGGAAGAAAACAAAGTAAATAAAAGAGAAATTGATGTCGCCTGAATTCCTTCATACTTCATGGTCTGAAGCTAGAGAAGAGGCAGAAGCCAAAATGCAACTGCACAGGAATGTGCTTAGATACAAAACCTAGGATGTAACTGTGGGAATGCCTTTAGATACAAAAGCTGGAATGCAACTATGTGTAATGAAGTCTGCAAAAGCTGGGAATGTCATGCCTGTCATTTGAGAACTGCGGGCAATTGGCAGTGTTTTTCAGAACTATTCTTGTAAAAACTGCTTTTCCTGAGTCTGGGGCCTGATCCAGTCTTTTTTTTTTTTTTTTTTTTTATTTTTTGTTCTTGGCTTGAACTCATGTGAGCTAGAAAAGAATTAGCAAGAGACAGTCGGTAAAGCTGTGGTCTGTGTACTCTCTCCTCAGCAGTAAAGCTGGCTTAAGAAATTCCTGGTCCAAATCGTACTTCCCTGCTTGTCTCACTTTTTCCAGGAAGAGTTTTTTGTAGGACTGAAATGCATCTGATCCAATTTTCCAGAAAGCATAACAGAAAACCTCCTGTTAGTTTTTTTTACAAGGTGGACCGACTACTGGTGAACAGTGTGGCTCCATGAACAGTTATGCTGGAATGACTGAAAGAACGAGGTACCCTCTGATAGGAGCAAGGGCATTCGTTGCCAGAAATTAGTACATTCAAGCTCTTAAGGCAGCGGCCTGATGGAACAACAGTGTTCATAAATTCCCTGAACAAAGTGTCATCCTTTCTTAGTCTTTCCCTATTTTTTTCAGATAGCCAAAAGCAAGGAAGGAGGTGTCAAAGGAAACATCAACTCTCAAGCAAAGTTATGTTTTAGAAATGCTTCAGGAAAGCAACTTTTATAGTGGCAAGTAAAATGTGGCCTAAAAGTTGCAACCAATCTAGACTAGAGGCAAATGATATAATCAAGTGTGGCATCTGAAGTTACTGCTAAGTAACTGAAGTTACTACAGTTGACTCATGGCAAATGCTATGTTTTTTCATAATCTAATGACAAGGTCATTTTTCAAATACCTGTAGGCTTTTAGGTTTGCAGTTTTGAGCCAGGAGAGTCACCAAAGTAATTATTTAAGAAAATTCACTCAGACTTTTAATTTCTTTCCTTTTTTTTATTACCTTCAAACATACAGACTGTCAGCTATGCAAGAACAAAGTAAAACTATTTCAGTGTGACAAACACTAGGATTAATAAAATTTCATCTGAAAGCTTTATTACTAAGCTATTTGTTTTATCAGTGATGTAGTTTTTCCTTCTTTTTACCATCAAATTTTCTGCAGTTCTTGTGGTTCTCTAAAATCTGTGCTGTCTTATAGCTGAAATTTAAGTGAAACTATGATGGCACTATATGTGTTAAATTAATTAAATTAATGCTCCTTCTGTCCAGTCCCAGACTATTTTTGTGTAAAGTTTTAAGGGAAAATTTTAACGAAAAATTTTTCATCCATGCAGGGCAGCTTTAGAAGAAGTAGAAGGAGATGTGACAGAACTGGAACTGAAACTTGACAAGGTAAGAGTAATTCAACAATGTCTGTTCTGAAAAATATACAAAGATGTGTTTAGGTTTTGTTTTAAAGTTCACAGCTGGGAAGTGGCAGCAGCCAACCAAACATTCAGATCTTGGAGAGGAAATAGATCTGGGTCCAGTGCACAGCTGGGCCTCAGAGGGTCAAGCTTTCCTAAGAGCAGCAAGATCCAGTGTGAATTCCCTTTCTCCACCAGCTGAGGATTGGGATTGTGCAATACCCTTCTGAATTCGTGGCCCCTTTGCAGTCATGCGATTCAGTCTCACAGTGGGAGCTGTATGCAGACTAATTCAGTTTTCATGTGAGTTAAAAGCCAAGGGTTGGCCATCTCTGCAGTGAGAGCTTATATTGTATGATGACAGCAGCATACTGCAAGCACATCTGGATACTCTGTGTTTTAGAGATTTAAAGTCAGTGCTTTCTGTCTTTGGTAGTTTGCAGCGCAGTTACAGCCGGATAGGGGTGTGTATATATATATACACACATGCTTTTGTCTGGAGGACTGACCTCCTGTAAAATTCATCAAACTTTGTGTCATGCTTTGTACATGTATATAAAAGGTTTTTTGTAGCATCTTTTTAATGCATTACAATCCATTTACTGGTTCCTGAACCAGTAGTGTTTGGAGGCTTTAGTTCTTTCTTTGCTAGTATCTTGAAGGTGGCATTTTTTTGTTTTACATCTGTAGAAAGTGTCCTTTCCTTAGCATTTTATGCTAAATGTTTAAAATTATTTTTGCTTGTGTGTTAATGTGGGAGGCAGATGTCATTTGTTTACCTTCTTAGCTACTTTTTGAATACAAGCTTTTGTTCCTGCAGCTGTGAGTTGGCTGCAGAAAGAGACAAAGTCAGTGTCCAATGAAGCATTAAGTCTGAAGACTTTGTTACTGCTTCTAATAATATTTCTAGCTTTTGTACTTAATAATATAACAATATGCTCTTTAAAAATAAATTTAAGGTTCTTTGATTTGGTGTGAATTTTGGTGAAACTGATGGGTTTAAGACACATTTTTACAGTAAGTGTGATGAATGTGTTTGGTAGATTAAACCATGGAAGTATTTAAAGGATCTGAAAAGTCTGTCTTGGAAGTTTGTGTTTTCCACCAGTCTAAAAGGGTTATTCTGGGGGAAAAGAATTCTCAGATTCCTTAAGGGGTGTTATTCAGTGCCTTGCCCCCAGCATCTTACAGCAGGCCTATACCAAATATACCATTTTAGCATGTAAAAGCTACAACTGTAGTATTACCCTTTGCCCTGAGAGACTGTCCTAGTACTCCTCAAAAGAAAATCGCCCAAACACATTTGCTCCCTTGACAAGAAAGCAAATGCACAAGGTAAGTATTTAAGTAGTTTAATTGTAATGTGATGTATAAGTGATCTAGTTTAATGCTTAAGTTGAAAGCCAGGCTTTTTGTGTGAGCTGAAGTAACTATGGCCTGAGGGTAATGATTTGTCTAGACTTGGTTGGTACCTTTTTCTGCGCAGTTATTCATACTAAATTCTGTTTTATTATCCCACAATTGTGCCTTGGGGCTATATTATCTGCTTTTTTTTTTTTTTCCACTCTGGAGGAAAGGACACTGGATTCAGGATTGTGAACTGTAAGCAAAAGTGAAGGAAAAAGGGTCACATTGTCAGTGATTTTTCTGTCCATTGTTCAATCATCTTGGCCATTTGTCAGAATGTGGGAAATGTTCAGATTTCGTCTTATGTTGACTCAGATTCTCTTAGGAAAAATTACTGGGTAAATAAGGCACAATGGTCACTTGGGTGGTTTCTTTGTCCCAACGTAGGATCAAGCACTTCGGTGTTGTTATTCATGAAAGTTTGTCTACATCCTTGAAAAATCCTTCAGAGAGAGTGGTTCAATCTTCTGATTTTATTCTCAGTTTGGTTTAGGGTTGGGGAGCTTGATAATAATATGCCCTCTCTTAAGAAAGCATGTAAGTGTTTGCACTAATCATTCTTTCATTAATGGCCCAGTGCAGAAGTGGTTCAAAAAGTGGGAAAACATCCATTACAAAAGACTGATGGCTAAAGTCTGATGTGCCAAGGTACTGACCGAAGCAATGAGTGGTAATGATAGAAACCCATCACAGAAAGTCTAGTCTGTTGTATGAGTGAAAACATGATTATTTCACCCTCTGAGATGTAACCGTATCTCTTCAGCTGTGCTTTGTGCACAGTGTTTCGCTTTCCTGTGCCTGTGTTCTGAATGAAACAAGTGGTATGGGCTTATTTTGTTTGGTTTTTTGGTTTATTTTTTTTTTTTTTGTTCAGAAGCCACGAACGACTTGTAATTTGCTTGGGTTCTAACCAACTATGTTTTAGTTGCTGTGCTCTTTGCCCTCATGGAGTACTGTCTTGAAATATGTGCTATATGTTAACAATAAAACAAATAAAACGTAATGAAAAAATATAAAAAGTAGTAACCTCCTCAGTGGCATAGCAGTTGACCTGGAATAGTATTTTATAGCTATCTTTGTACAGTATAAAGCTTTTCATAAATGTGGGGCTCTGTAATTCTAGAATTTAACTTTTGAAATCTTTGTTTCTTAGAGTTAACTAAGCTCAATGTATCTCATGTTTGTATGGTGGTGTATAAAACAAAACTAACAAACTTCCACTTTGTCTTTTTTTTTTTCCTCTTTTTAGCTGGTGAAGCTGTGTATTGCAATGATTGATACCGGGAAAGCATTCTGTACAGCCAACAAGCAGTTCATGAATGGAATTCGAGACCTTGCACAATATTCCTGTAAAGATGCATTGGTTGAGGTAAGTTCTTTAAGAGGTGAAAATGGAAGGAGAAAAATGTAACTTAAAAGGTATGAAATATAGTAGTTAGCAAGAGAAGCATTTGAAGTTTATACTGTTACTTGCCTTTTTATTCCTTTTTTCTTTGCAATGTCTTTTGATTGTGGTGCACTGCAAGTGTCTTATTTATTGATATTAAAGTTTAATTTCAGCTTTGACCTGTGATGGCAGGGGTTCTCCAAATTCCAGAAAATGTGGTTTAGGTTAGGATTAGTCATCCTGGGAAGAGTGGAGAAAGGCTGAAGCTATGAACTCCTGCCCCTATTTTGCTAAAGTTCTAGTCATGGTTCTCTGCAATAAAATTTCCTGAGTTGATCTCTTGGGTCCTGGCACTTTCTAATAAATTGAAATCAAATTTTTAAATGTACAGAGCCCACTTTGATTGTGTAACCTCAGACTGATGTTGTTAGGCTAATTTGGAACACCTAGTATTATGTCTATTACTTTAAATGAAAAATGAAATTGTGTAATATGCAGGTGCAATTATGTGCAAGCTTCGGTGTATATAATCTAATGCATGTTCTGCAATAGAACATCAATTACATGTATGCATCTTCACATGTTAGTTGGAAGAGATGTGGTGCAAACTTCAATATAGTCTGTGTGCAACTGAAACTGTTTTTGTCTGGAAATTTACTTGCTAGGAATGCAGCTTAATCAGTTTTCTGGACATATTAGGGATCATTGTTTTCTAATGGTGTTTAAGACATTGATTCTACAGATTGATGTTGCTAAGCACATCAGCTGTGGGGCAGTAGTTCCTACAGTAAATATGTGTGTACTGATGATTACAACATGTTAACCAGGTTTTTGGAGTTAGAGTATTAAACATTAATGAATAATAAGTACTGTAATATTGAATATTTTAAATTAATATGTTAAATTATGTGAATTTCCTGTAGTTTAGTCAACTTAATGTGAATTTTTCCTGTTGTGCTTCTCCTTAGCCCTTTATTTAAGGTAGGTTAAAGCTTATAGCTTTAACGGATTTACTTGATATTACCCCCATGTTCTCCTTCTAGCACAATGGTTTTAGTTTACAATCATGCTAAGGAAAATCATTTCCCAGGTTTTTTTCATTAAATCTGTTGCTCTTGTGCTGTGTGTTTGGTAGGGTTTAACTTTAACCACTTTGGTTTTCTCTTTACAGACCAGCTTGACAAAGTTCTCTGATACCTTACAGGAAATGATCAATTATCACAATGTAAGTATTTCTAGTTGAAATATGACACTGACTTCCAGTTATATTTGATAAGAGAATAATGCCAAAATCAATGTTGATAGTTTTTACAACTTACACTTATGGTTTAAGTGGTTTTGAGTATCTCTCATTTTATACTTGTAAATATTTTATTTATATTTTTATTACGAAGTATTTATAAATATCTCCTTTTCTGCAGGTTTTTTTTTTTTTTGCTTGGAGTTTATAAGCTTTGCTAAAACCCAGTGCTGTAAGGCAGGGTAAATACTGGGTTGGTTTATCAGTTTTAATCAAACTGATGGGCAGCAGTGACAAACTATGAGCATATTTTTTTGCTGGACTGAAATAATGATTATCTTTTCCATGATTTCTACTTTTATCTCATCCTTTATGATGCACAAAATGAAGCACCTCTGATCTATGTGTAGTTTTCTCTTTGGAAATGTGACAGATTTAGACAAGTGTAGAGAAAAAGGAGAAAATGATGAGGTTTAAAACTAATATTGGTTTCCAGCATGTCAGACATCATCAGAAAGCTCAGTTTTGCCTGGATGGAAAATAACTTTTATTTTTATTTTTTTGGATTTATTTCCTGCTCTGAAGACTTCAGTCTTGTATCCTGAGAGCCAAAGGGATGTGTTTGTCATTCTATTTTATTCCTTTTCTTTTTGCCCCTACTGCTTTTCTTCTATTTTCCAGCAAATTGCTAGAAACCAACTGAAATGTCTTCAAAGTGCTGAGAATATGCAGGGCACTTAACTTTGTTGTTTGTTTGTTTAATATATTGCTAGGAGTTCAAAATGTAATGAGATTCAGAGAATGCAGTTCAAGCAGTTCTTGCTGATGATTATCCTCTTAACCATGTCTTTGCTATATGGTGTTCTCTTTGACACATCTGACCAAGGTTCTGCATTCTTGCTGCTGCCGTTGTCCTATGTGATTGTGGCTTGCAGTAAAATCTGGCACAGCACAGCTCTCCCTCTAGGGCAGTTTGAAGGCAGAAAGCAAAGAATAAACCATATTAAAAGAAGATTTCTTTGCAGATCTACGTAGGATCATTTGTGGGGTTTTTTGTTTGCTTGGGAGGCTTTTTGGTTTATTTTCTTCCCTGTACTTCCTTGCTCTGTGCATAGCAAGTAGAACAGTGGCCTTTACGAAAAAGCACAATTCTGAGAAGTGAGGCATGCTACAGTATTCTGATGTAGAGCTTTGCCAGACACATTGCGGTCCTGTGTTGCTTTTGTGAGTCTGTTTAGTTCAGCAGGACTTTACTAGCTCAGAATGTCAGCTCTGTTGTTGATCAAGTTGGCAGGAGAGCCATCATGAGAAAAAATTAGAGGAAAAAAGAGGAGTAATAGGTTTCCTCCAGAGAAAGGTGGGAAGAGGGAGGAGATGGTCCCCCTGAGGTTTGGATGACTGTCAGCTTTCTCATAGAAGGCTTTGCTGTAAATAAAAGAAGGTAGATTTACATTAGGTAGTAGGAAAAAAAATCTTCACTGTGAGGGTGGTGAGGCAGTGGCACAGGTTGCTCAGAGGTTGTGGCTGCCCCATCCCTGGAAGTGTCCAAGGCCAGATTGGACAGGGCTTTGAGCAACGTGGTGGAAATTGTCCCTGCTCATGGCAGAGGGCTTGGAACTATATGATCCCTTCCAACCCAAACCATTCTGTGATTCTATGAAATAAGGCTAGAAACCAGACTAATGCAGCATCTTCACTGATTCAGCAGTGGGGGAGTAGCTTTGACAACTTATGTCAAATAGCAACTTTCTTAGACTAGGTTTGGAGTACATGAAAGGTGATGTGTTGGAAAGGCTGTAAATCTAGTCAGATCGTGGTCTGGGTACTTTTTTCTGTTCTCTTGGGAAAACTCTGTATGTATTTTTCTGCCTAGCACTTCTTTCTTCATCATTACTGTAAGCAGAATTGCAAGGCTTGTATTTCTGGGAGTCCACTAATCATCTGCCATCTGGTTGTACACTTTCGGTATTGATCTTGATTGGTGTACTCCTCAGGCACTGGTAAGCTTAAATGTCAGCAGTGGGAGTAGTCCCGGCATGACGTCCAGCTTGTCAAGAAGTTCTTTACCTATCCTAGTTGTCTGTTTTTCTGTTTTCCCAAAGTGGGAATACAAATAGGGTCTTCCATGTGTTTCTATTAGATATGGGATGTCTCAGGTTGGAATGGAACTGTCTGCCTATATCAGGGTCACCTCTGAGGCTGGAGCAGATTGCTTAGAGTTTTATTCCGTTTCGTCTTGAAAACCTCTGAAAATGGAGACTGGATGGAGGTTACAGTACCACTATTAATGACTGACTTAAGCTCATCATGTTTTCCTTCATTTAGTATTTCTAGAAAAGAGAAACAAGCTGGTAAGGGCTTTGCTGTCAGTGCTTGGCATTGAATGGCTTGTCATTCCCAATTATTTTATTAAAAAAACCCAGACTGAATGTTTAAATAAACCATTGACCTGAAACTTTAGGTTCTTGACTTGCTCTTCGAATAAAATTATTTAACACTTAAATATCATCTTTACCTTTTGGAAGAGCTTCTGGAGAGTTGGGCCAACTGCTACTTACATATATTCTTTCACCTCTTCATATGTTCTTTGTGATCATGCCTTGCATATTTCAACAATGCAGAATGGGAGGTGTAGAGGAGCTGGAAATTAAGGCGTTATTTGTAGTCTGCACAATGGGAAGTGCAAAGGATTTGTCTCATGGTCCTTGACCTTTTCCATTCTATCCTGTAACTCAGAGGACAGACATGAAGCTGAAGGAATGTGCATTTTCATTCCTCTATTAGAATTTCTGGGGTCATAAGAGAAAATAGAAGTTGTCTAACATTCAGGTGTGCTTTGGCCTTGGAAGTGTAACAAATTTCTCATGCTTTATGATTTGAGTTAGTAGATTATATTCTGTGCTGCCTCCCACCCCCAGGCCTCACCAAATCATAAGAAATTTGACAAGCATGGTTTAGAACACTTAATCTTAGCAAAAGACGCATCCATTCTTCTTAGCTCAACAGTGGGTGGTTTGGGGTTTTTTTACAAACGTATTATGTAAAGGAGCTAGTACTAATTACTCATGTATGTTACATTTTCAGGATTAATTTTGGTCTGGACTTTTTTTGCCGAGACTTAAAGGCATATTCTTTCTGTGGTTTCATTTGTCTTTTAGTAGTTGGTTAAACTGTGGAAGCCTGTAAGAATAAGAAAAGTGGTTACTTAACATTCAAAGTTGTTGCTTCAAGGCTGTTAGTACAGCAATATTCTTGACTGTTTAATAATAATAATAAACATGTTCTATGAGAATGGGCATGTCCTGCATTGTCAGGATTAAAGAATAAGATGCCAGAAGCTATTTTCTCTCCTTATAACCACAGTCTTTTAAAAGAGACCAGAAAAACTTGCTGGGTTTGTGTTATTTTCCCTATTTTATTCGTTATTTATTTATTTAAAACTACATTGAAGGGCTTTATCTTTTAATATAAGACATACATTGGTTTAATTCTAATTCCTATCTAATATTGCATAGTAACTGTATATATCTAAAGTTGAAAGTTATGAATACCCCAAAGTTATTGACCTACATGGTAATGCTTTTCTTTCAGATCCTGTTTGACCAAACCCAAAGGTCAATTAAAGCACAGCTTCAGACTTTCGTTAAAGAGTAAGTTAATTTGCACTTATAGTGGGAAAATTATAGGTAAAATAGAATTTTAAAACATCTGATTTGTGGGAATTGGTGAAACATCATTCCTGAGAATGGCTAGCCATAAATTGAAAAGTGCATATTAAGGCTTGTCAAAAACCATCCCAAATCAGTGAGGCTTTAGTTCCAGCTACAGAGATGTTGAAATAGTATGAATTACTGATCTTAATTACACGTTGTCGTTGTCTAAGCTTAGCAAAAAAGTGCTTACCTGAGCTTTTCCACAGTACGCATGAGATGCATTTATTTAAATTTTAATTTTGTCCTTTACTCAGAAGAGAAAGACGGCAAAACTTCCATCATACTTTGTGTGATTTCCATTTGATCCAAGCCTTTGTTGAAGGGTATGAAAACAAAAGAAATAGCTATAACAGTCATGAGCATGGTTTATCTAGTTCATCTTTAAACACTTTTTTCATGCTTTGGAATTAATTTGTTATACGTCTTTCTCTTTAGAGATATTAGGAAATTTAAAGATGCTAAGAAACAGTTTGAAAAAGTTAGTGAAGAAAAAGAGAATGCTCTAGTGAAAAATGCACAAGTTCAAAGGAATAAGCAACATGAAGTAGAGGAAGCAACCAATATTTTGACTGCAACACGGAAATGTTTTCGACACATAGCTCTGGATTATGTTCTTCAGGTAAGTGCAGCAATAAAAGTTATATTCTTCAAAACTATCTGTTGCATATAGTTAAAAGATCTGTCATTTAGAAGTTCTTGCTGTAAGCTTCTTGGAAGCTGTGGGGATTTAAGTGAAAAAGGAGTAACTTTGCAAGTAATTTCTCTTTTGAATAAAATCTAAGCAAAATTAATTTACATGATGCATTCTTATTCTTTAGTGCTTTGTTATTCATTGCTGTAATGACAATTTATTTTTCAACTTGAACATTATTTGTGAAAAAGCAGGTTTTGCTTGATACTTACCTAAAGTATTTATGATTGGCTATGCTGTAGTTCCTTATATCTTTGAATTTAAAAATATAACCTAGCCTAGGAAATATGAATTACCTGAATAATTCTGATTTAGGGTGTTGGCTACTACTACATTTTCAGCTGCTTGCATTGGGTTTTATTTAACAAATCCTACTTTCTAGAAGCCTCGGGGTCTGACACTGTGCCATAGGTGAAATCAAGAATGTAGCTACTCCTTTGCTTTTTAGTGCACATCTCCTAGGGTGTTGAAGGTGTTCTTTGTCCTACTACTTTGAATCCTGTGAAATACTAACATATTTTCTGTTGATAGTTATCATTCATCTCTTTCACAGTTTCCCACAACTACAGCAAAACAGGGTTATTGCAACTCGGATGGTATGAGGAGTTGGGGGCTCCTGAAAGGGTCTTGGCTTCTCCTATGATCAAGCACAGAACAACCCTTTAAAATTATGTTGGTTTTATATTGGACTTTATCATCTTGATTTGTGACAGTCAGTTACTTAACGCTTAGTTAACTGTTCTTTAAATTACATGTATTACATGTAAAGTGAAGCAGAATTGATTGGATCAGCCCAGGCAAGTGCACAGATATGGTGGTCAGTGGTCAACACTGCACTCCTGCCTTTTGTGCACTAAGGACAAAGTTCATTCTGATGTTTAAAAAGTCATGGGAATTATGTACCACTTAATTATTTGTGCTAACATCAAATAGTAGGGGGGGGAAAGCTGTTAGTCATTACTTTGGGACAGTTCCTTGTGTATGCATTGGACTGCAAATTGTTTGCCTCCTAGAATTCGTATATTAAAGTATGAGCAGTTCCTGTGATAAAGATGCATTTAAAATAACAAGGAAAAGTTTCATCATCTCTTAATTAATGCAGGCTAAAATGAATTCAGCTTTAGGAATTCTTTCTGCTTGGGTGACTCTTCTCAAACAGTGGTTTCACAGCTCTGGTTTCTTTGTAGTTATATTGGCTTTAAACTGTATTTCAGAACCTTTGCATTAACTTTATTTCAACGTTTTTTTTGCCTTGCAAGTTGAAGGCTTGTTCTATGCAAACAGATCTTAATTATTTTTGCTGCAGAGGGTTTTCCAAAATTACTGACCATTTTGAAATACAATCTGGTTTTGATTAGAGCTTCAGCAAGTTTACTTCTTTCGCTGGAATTTTAAATTGATACAGAGGTGTTAAATTACAACACCATGCATGTTTCTGCTAAATGGGGCTTTAAAGTGAAATCTGTAGTTCTGGATGGCAGCCTTAAAGATTAGGGACCAAAAAGGATAGAGGGACTAGCTGAATGTAAAATATCACTATATCACTTTTTTTCTATAGAATGTGAAATTCTTCAAGTTCTAAGGCAAAACTATTGATCAGTGACTTCAGTTAGCTTAAAAGTGCAAGTATATATGAAAAGTTATTTATTGAAGCTAGCATGTTCTTGCTTGTTTCAGAGGTTGGGGTTATATCCCAGTTCTGGGACACTTTAGACAATGTCAGCATAGGGAAAAATAAACATGGCCCTGTCCTTTTTTCTCCCTTGTCAGGAGACTGCAGTGTGTGGAGTGCAGCTTCTTTAAGAAGTTGGGGGCTGGGTTAGCTCATACTGTCAGAAAGGATATTTCAAACATGTTGAATTCAATCTCTTGAAAGGTGTGTTATATTACTTCTAGCTAGCATGTGGTGTCTTTTATTTTCCCTTCTAATATATGAAAGTTGTGACTACTGCTGTGAAATTCTAGCTTTGCAAGTTTTTTCTGATTGCATCAATTTAATATCATGACAAAACTAGCATGCATCTTCTAAACATGTTTTGTGAAGTCTGATGTGGAGGTATGCTCTTTCAGTGTTCTAAGCTTTGATATGATTATTTGGAAGTAATTTGAAGTTTACTTTCTATGGGGAAAGTAGAATGAAGTAAGTTGCTTGTTTGCTTTTTTTTCTTTTTGAAATTTTGTTTTGTTGTTTTTTTTCCCAGATCAATGTTCTTCAGTCTAAAAGGAGAGCAGAAATCTTGAAATCGGTAAGATAAAGTTTATTTTCTGTATAGAAAATATTTAAATACATCTGAAACGAAAAATGTGGTTTAAAGCAGTATATTAAAAAGCTAGTTCTTTGACCTGTCAAAACATCAATACGTTTGGCCCTTTGGTGACTATCAGTTTAGCCTTTACTGTAAGTGGGCATTCATGCTTAATTGTTCTTAGCAATCCTTTTGGTTCAAATTTGAACACTTTAAGGTTTTCACTGCTGTGGACTCTTTGGTATGTGTTCCATGGTTAAAATCAAACTTTGCCAAGAATTCTGCAGTTTAGGTCTGCTATATTCATTTATAAACAGTAAGTAATACTTAGAATCTATTTGAATATGGATTCAGCCCTTTCTACAAGAAGGGTATTTCTTTATGTTCATAAGGGCTTTGGCTTTGGATCATTAGTAAATACATTCTGTAGCCCTTCTCTAGTTAAACAGGAGATGATTACAGTTTCAGGGGACCCAAATTAGAAGTAATTTTCTGCCCTTAAGTAGATTTGTTTTGATAATGGGGTTAATCCTGTTAACTAACTTTTGAGATTTTTGGCTTGGTTCCTTGCATGTTTATTTACATCATTAGAAGCTCTGTGAGATGTTGATATAAAATTGCCAGGATAGAAGAAAGCAGAAATTAAGCTTGGAACTGTATTTTAAGTTTGTTCATGTGGACTAGTTAAGCGATATATTTATGTGATAGTTTATAAACATTTATCCTTTTAAAAAACATACCTTTTTTCTTTCTAGATGTTATCATTTATGTATGCCCATCTGGCTTTTTTCCATCAAGGCTACGATCTTTTTAGTGAACTTGAGCCTTACATGAAAGATCTTGGTGCACAGGTAACAAACTACTTTAAAATCCATAATTGTAAGCTGGACTGGATGAAAATTTGATATATTAGTATATATCAGGTACATTGTAGATCTGTTCAACAAAAAGGGGCCTGTGGTGTAATAAAGGCAAAGCATTAAAAATACATTGTGGTTTAAATGAATGTAGTTATAAACTGAAAGTTGTTTCCTAAAATACTGTGTTTAGGTAGTACATATTTAACATAGCCATGTAGTGCGATTTTGAGGAACTCTATTCAGGACATTGGATTATTTTATTTTAAAAAGTTTTGTATATGACATGTTGTAAATATATTTAATGATAAGAAGCAGATTAGGTTTTTTCCTTCTAACTGTATACATTATTTACTGTATAAATTAGGCAATATGACAAAAAAAAATTGATGTTAGCAGCTTAGACCATAAAGCAGAAATCTGATTTTAATAACTAGTGCAGAGTCCTTCTTGCCCAGTTTTGTTGTTTTAAGAACACACAGTTTCAGCTTTTGGGTGTTCAGTGACAGACTCATAAAAAGGTTGGACCACAGCCAACTGCACACGGGAGACATGGAAAATGGTTATGCAAAATAGAATAAGAGCTTGCAGTATTCAACTGAAGATCTGTCTGTGGTGTAGGAAGAAGACTTAGTGGTGTCTTGACTTGTTTTCACTGCAAGTTGAATAGACCTGGAAATACTGTGCAACATCCCCCCCCCCCCCCCCTTTTGCCTCTGTCCAAGGGCTTGCAACAGCTGCACTGATGCAAAGCCCTCTTTTTGCCTCTTCTGAACCTGATGCACAAAACAAAGCCAACCCAAATTCTGTCTCCAGAAACAAAAGGAAATAAATGACAGCAACTGTTTATTTGCATTCATCTAAAGTAGATGTGTCGTTGAATGTCTAAGAAATGACATTGTTCTGAGCTGGTTATTCCTGCCACAGTGCTGTTGTCATCTGTGCCCCTCAATCTTCTACTGTGTCTGTGCAGTGAAGCAGATCGGGAATTGTAGGAAATAACTCCAACAATCAAATGTTTAAATAGTTATTTTTCTGCTAGACTAGTCCCCAGTCAAGTTACTGTGGGTCTTAATTAGTTGTACAAATACATGTCAGGGAGGTGTGTGCTTGTGTGTGTGTATGCATGTGGCAAGTGTTTGAGTTGAGAAGAGAGATAGGCTGCTTGAGCTGGCACTGCCATCAAGAAGGGAAGTGACTGTACAGCTACAGACCTCTGTGTTTGGTGTAATAGTGGCACTAGAAAGGTTCAGGTGCTCACGACTGTCCTTAGTTATGCCTTTTGTTCATTCACATCCTTCCCTTTTGGGTTGTAATTCTTGAACTGTAGTGTTTTGATGGTAGAGAACGTGTGTCCTGTACCTCTGCAGAGGAGGGGATGGGGAAAGCAGACAAAACCTATGGAGCTGGTAGTGGTTTATGCTACCAGCTACACTTTAATGTTTTCATTTAATTGAAATTATTTAAGCAAGGAACAAAAGGTTATTTTCAAGTGGCTGGGCATCCTTTTCCTTGATCTGGTAAGGAGCATTCTGTAACACATCTTGGTGCTGGTATCATAGCAACTGAAGGAGTTGAATTTAGAAAATCCAGAACTGAGAATGTTTAAAATATATTACAATTGGAACAAAGGTAGACTGAAGACCCTGGAGTTGTACACCTTGCTGAAGTACTCTTTTGTGGCAGACCTTGACATTTAAGGATTGGATTTTTTTCATGACAGAAACAGACTTGTAAATAGCTTATGGAAGTTTAACAGTTAATGAATGGCTTTGCAGTTTGCACTGGTTGAAACTTCTGTCTTTTAACTGGTCAGAGAGAAGGTATGTTGTGATATAAAACAGGGATTTGCTAGATTTTTCTGAAAATTCGGTTATATTGTTTCTTCTGGTGAGTTTTCATTCACAGGTAAATTTTGTGGGTGATCTTAATTACAAGGTTTAACAGCACCCAAGACATTAAAATTGAAGTGATTTTAAAGAGGATAGTTATTTTGTAGCTCTTCTGGTTTGCATTTTCAAAGTAACTGGTTTATATGATGAAATAGGATTGAGCAATTTCTGCTTTCTGGGTATTTTAGGTCAGGGTAGGATTACTTGTGAATCAGATCATTGTAGGGGAATGTTCAATGGTGCACAAATGTAATACAAGCTTTTGCATGGAAACTACAGTATTTGGTATTTTTCATGTGAAATGTGTTAGTTTAAAAAGAAAACTTACTTGAATCTTCATTCCAAGATGTCTATTCAAAAAGCTAAACATTTGCTAAACAGACAAACTATGTGTGATTTAGTTCTTTACAGAATACCACTTACAGCACTATATGTTTATAAAAGATATTACATTTACAAGAGCATGTAGTGATAGGACAAGGAGAAATGGCTTTAAACTGAGAGATGGAAGATTTAGATTAGACATTAGGAAGAAATTCCTTACCGTGAGAGTGTTGAGGCACTGGCACAGGTTGCCCAGAGAAGTTGTGGCTGCCCCATCCCTGGCAGTGTTCAAGGCCAGGTTGGATGGGGCTTGGTGCAGCCTGATCTAGTGTAAGGTGTCCCTGCCTGTGGAAGGGTCTAGAACTGGATGAACCCAAACCATTCCATGAATCTATGATATATCAGTAAATGCAGTATTGTGAAAAAAAAACCCTGGTTTTTGGAGACGATTAAGTAGTGGTATAATGACAGGGATTTTGACTGCTCAGTTATCTGATTGGCCAAAGCTCTTGACAGCTGCATGCTGTTGTTCATTTTTGTTTAAGGCAGTTGATGTGCTGGTCACTTCAGAAGAGGAAATTCTGGTCTGAGCTTGAAAACTGGGATGATACAATGTTGTCTTGATAGCAAAAGTAAATGATGAAGTGAACTGCTGTTAAGAACATTATTTTGGCACTTATGCTGTGGTATATGTACCCTCAAATGCTTTTGTTTAAGATAACTTAGAAGTCATTACCCTAATCTGAACTTGGCAGTCTTGTTTGATCTAGCAAGGTAGGGGAAAGAATTTCTTGGAGGCCATGTGCAGATTCCTGACTCTGAGGTTTTAGTAAGAAACTTGATTCCTATAAAGTCTTGAGCAGTCCTCAGGCTAGTTCTCACCTTTATCACAAAAGAGTGGGTTTCCCAGGGTTCTTGGTGCAAAACTGTCTTTGATTACAGTGGTAGCACAGCCTGTTTTAGAGGCTCATCTATAATTTTGGAGTCATGTAGCTGCATAAATATGATGCCTGGACACTTCAGTCTTTAACATGTCTGTGTTCACAAATATTTGTAAGGTGTAAAAGTGCTGGTAATGGCCATTTTAGTGGAGAAGAAATCAGAGAGAGAAGAGTTAAGAAAAATGACAGAATATGGAATTAGATCCAGTTATCCTGGCTGTCTGATGGCTCCATAATTGTTAGAGACTGTCTAGCACAAGGGTGTAAGAGTCAGTCATTGTCCCTTTTTAGTCTCATAGATATCATTGCCCATTAGAGTTCATGGAGTGTATTTACAATGCTCTTAGTCACATGGTTTAGTTTTAGGTAGTCCTGTGAGGAGCAGGGATTTGGACTCGATGATTCATATGGGTCCCTTCCAACTCAAGATATTCTGTGCTTCTGTTCTATGATTTCAAGCAGGAGAAGTTCAACACAGGAAAATGACCAGAGTTGGCAGGGGTTCTCACTTGTGGTTATGAGAGTGGGTGGAGGCGGTGCTATTTGTGTGCGTGAATTAGAGGTTCTGTTAGTCATACTGTGCCCTCTGCCACGTGACTCACTTCAGCTGGAAAGCTGCTGTTGTGCTGTTCCTCGTTTACTTGTCCTAGGCCTGGAGTGGGGCAAGGTCTGTCCCACAGGTGTAAAGCTTCAGGCGGTACTGCTGTGTTAAGGATTGCATCTACATTGTTAATTCAGTAAGATGCAGTGACTGGAGTTAATGGCAGTCTTGTATTACAGGCTGGATAAGGAGGAGTTAATCTGATGTCGCAGCATGTCACATAAGTACAAGGATTGCTGGTCATTTGAGCAGCATCTGCTCCTTCACTTCACCATATTTCTGATTTAAACATCAAAGTCTGAAAAAAAACCCAAAACCCAACCAACCAGAAACAATAATACCTACAAAATCAACCAAACAAAAAACATCCCCTCCCCCCAAAAAACCAAACCAAAATACAAACCACACCAAAATGAAACAAACCAACCCTAAACAGAACAACCACAAAAAAATCCAAATGCAACTTTCTTATGGGATATCTTAAATTTCCTGCTGGGTTTTTGTTTTTCCCTTCTGGTATTAAAAGGAAAAAGTTTATATGGTAGTGCTATAGACAAGCTCACAGCAAGTTTTTGGTAGTGGGATGGGGTTTTCCTCAGTCATCACAGACTTTGTAAGGATGCTAACTGAAACCCTCTTTGTGGTGACAGTCTCCTGTGCAAAATCATATTACAGTTTCTTCTGAAATTAGAAACAGTTTGAATGGCTGTACCTAAGTTTTCAAGGAGACTTACTCAAGTGCTGCTGGTGACCTGATCAAAACTATTAGTACAAAAGGCTGGTTGGGGCCGTCCCTCCACTTTGTGGAGGAGAAAAATCACTAGCATTTGCTCCCTCTAGTTTTTGCTGCTAATGCCAGCGCTGCTGCATAGGCCAGCCAGCCAGAGCAGCTAAAGCATGAGTCATTCTCCTCAGAGTCTGAGCACCAATGCGGTATAGAGTCGCATATGCTTGGCACCATGCTGTTCTTTGAAACATTTCTTCTAAGGCTTACAAGAAATGTATACCTTTCATAGAGTTTAATTCAGGATGGTAGTACAGTGCGTTGTTAAACAAGGCTTCAGTGGTTATTCAAGGTAAACACTTTCTGACCAGAGAAGTAATTATACTATGCAAATAAAATAAAAGTCATGCAGTGTCTAGACATAATGTGTTCTTTTTTTTTGTCAGTGTTATGAAATCTACTGAGCCAAATTTCTCTTCATATCTAAAGATACAATTTTCTGTTTCTCTTTACAGCTGGATCAGTTGGCTGTAGATGCTGCAAAGGAGAAGAGAGATATGGAGCAAAAGCACTCCACTATTCAACAAAAGGTACTTGAGAGAATGTAAAAGGCAGACTGCACACACATTTTTGTCTCTAGCATTTCTTCCCAGCAGTGCATCTTTGCATCAGTACTCTGAGGGATGGTATCTTTAGTGCAGAGAAAGAGACTTATGCATCATTAAGCTTAGGATTGGATTGCAGATACTAATTTTGTATTACAGAAGATTGTTTAGTTATGAAGCATATATACAACAGTGTATTTGAATGCTGGGACTCTAACATTTCAATAGAACTCTTTATTCAATCTAAGCTGTAATAGGAATTTAGTTATAAAAGTTGCTGGTTTTCCCTCCAGTGTGTCTGTAGAAGAGATGTTTATACTGCACAGTCCTTCAGTCATGTATTGCTTTCTGGACTGTGCCAAATAAGAATGCAGCACTTTGAGGTAGTGTGGCAGCTGTTGTTGCATAGAAAGAGCAAAAGTAAACTTTCATAAAGGCTGTCTAATGTACGGTGTTCAATTGTGTACAAAAAAGTGATAACAATAAATTGCTGTTTTGAGAAGATTTGTATGTGCAATATTTTTGCTTGTTGAGAACAATTTAGGTAATCCATACTGGGATGCGGGGGAATGATTTCTGTTGTTTGGATGTTTCAGAAGCTCTAGGTTAGTATTGGTTTTGCAGGTATAATGCTAGAAGTTAAAAATATTTCCACTGAACTCTCTGGTAGTGAGATAATACTGCAGGTAGTTTTGAAAGGGATTAGATACCAGTTTAAAGGTAATGCAACACTTCTTACTGTCAATCAAATACATTCTGTATCCATTCAGGTGGCATAAAAAAAAAAGCCTAATGTAAATTAAATCTGATGAGTAAATTCAGGAATGAGAACCTGTTAAGACTATAATTTAGGTAGCTTTAGTAAGAATCAATATTAATACTGATGGGAAAAGGTAATGCTTTTGGTTGCTAAAAATGGGTTTGTTGCTTCATCCCATCATGCCTCCTGGAGTTGGTGGGAAGCATTAGGATTGCTGTGAAATTGAGCAGCCATGATGATGGATTTTAGGGCAGTGCTGATGTGCTCTGTTTGGGGGCAGACAGAAAGTAACTACAGGTGAGGAATGGGAAGAAAGAAGGAAAATAGGAAAGAGATGGAACTGGAGAATTAACACTGATGTTCAAATTTTAATTTGTTTGGGTTGAATAGGCCGTGTTTCAGGGGTGGGCAGTAGTTGAGGATTTTACTGTTAACAGAACAACAGTGCTTGGTGAAGGGTGTAAGTTATGCTCAATTTTCTTTCAATTGCCCATAGAAATAATGACATATTACTGTGAATTATGGTAATTGCTGTTGCCAGTGCTGTTTACAGTCTTTGTTTTTTCTTCAAATGCTGCTTAAGGCTGCTTTACAGGTAAAATATTCCTAATAGTATCAATGGTTATTGAAACTTTTAAGCTTCATGAAACTAATTAAATTCTATCTTTTGCATAGTACAAATATTCTTGCTTTCTAGTACAAGTTGTAGTCACAGAGGTTATTTCTATTTTGTTCCTTATTTTAAGTGAATGACAATTTTACACTCTCTAAAATATAATCAGGGCAGTCAAATTGTATTATATGTTGTCCTCTAAAGTTCTGTGTTTCAAGTTATATATGTTGTCTCCTGTCCTTATCAGTGAAGTCACTGATGCGTTTTTGTGATGACAGTGCCTAGATGAATGTATCTGGGCTTTGGAGGGCATGGTTTACTGCAGGTTCCTCTTACATCTTGTCAAATAATTTTCTTTGTTTCTTATTCAGATCATGTTGTCTGTTTTTTTGTCTCTTCCTACCTGCTTTTCCCAACCTTACCACCAAGTTTGCTTCCAGCTCATCAGGATTTCAGAATCTTGAACTGCTTTAGACCTTGGATCTTGTTCTCTATTTGTCATCTGGTCAACCTGACCAGGATAGCAACCTTGTTCTCATGGCTTGTCATGTTGCTTTCCACTGGGCTGCCTCTTAGGCATATATTCCCAAATCTCCCAGTGCCAAATCCTTTTATGTTTTATAACTACTGAAACTTCTGCTTCTTGTCTTAAATATTCCGTGAGGTATATATGCATTTAATATACTGAAGTTTTAATCTAATGCTTCAGAATGATGCCTTTTCTTCATTGTGTGGATAAAGAACAGTTCCTTTTCTGAAATGTTTAGGTAAGTGCACATGTGCACACACCTACCCACACACTACCTGTGTTTGCATATATGTGCATATGCATGCAGAATAGTTGCACTAATTAACTCATCTCACTTTTCTTTATAATCATCATCCTGTTTAATTAGGTTGTTGTCTGAGAAGCTAATGCAAAAGCCGTGGAAGGGCTTGGTCACCACTATAGTCTGATTTCAATTTTCAGAGAATTGATGTCTCATTTTTTTGTTTAACTTTTGTGGTCTTATTTACTCAGAAAATATGCAGGAGACTTTTTATTGTAAGAAATTATATTTTTCTGTATTAATCTGGAGCAACACATACTATGAATTAATCTAGAAATGTCATGATCATTCCGGGAATGTTTTGCCATATATTTTCATAGGGAAAGATTTGTATCTAGATTGGTGTCACAGTGGTCAGAGTGTCAATATCACTTAAGACTTTTGTTTTCTGAGCAGTTTGCACCCCATTGCTGTAGTAACATGTTGAATTAAGAAATAATTTAAAAATCAGTTGGACGTGTAAACAGCATTATGGCTTTTGGTTTGGGGACAAAGCTGATCTTTCTAAAATGAGGGAAATGAAACAGGAAAAATGTTTGCATTGAACTTGAAATAGTTTTTGTTGTATTCAAATCCCTTTGTCATTAAAAGAAAAATATTCTACTTCCAAAGAGCTGCTCAGGAAACAGCTGGAGTGAGAGTGATGTGAAAATTTTTAACATCTTGAATAAGCAAGGTGATAGGAAACCAGATGCTACTGCAGTCAGCAAGCAGGCATAAATCAGAGCTGCTGTTGAGAAGTAATGCAAACTAAATCCTGTCTCAAAAAGCAAGGATGTGCCAGTATTTCAAGTGGCATGTATACTCCGTCACTATCTCGCTTTCTTTCACTTCATCTTGGAATGTAAGTGTTGTTACTTGTGTGTGTTGTTGTTTTAAGCCCTTTCTCAAGGGACTTTTGACTTAAGCATGACATTCTTTTGCTGATGGGAAGGGAATGGAAGCAACTTTCTAAATGAGAGAATCACACAGTGTCTTCTATTTAGTATGTGCTGGAGTAACTTTTCAGAGTAGTGGTTTATATGGTACTTATGCACCCCCATTTACTACCTTTTAAAAACTTAAAACAATCTGTTTCTCTAAAATAAAACCCATATTGAATATATTTTCAATATTAAAATGCTGATACAGTCCCTAAGATTTACTGGAAAAATGGCTTGAATAGCTTTCATGACTTTCTAGCAACCCTCATATTGAAAGTAAATTGAAAACTGCTGCTGCTGAAAAAGTACTAGGGCTTATGTTTTGGTAACAAGAAAATTATATGTAGAGAAGCAGAAAACGTGCAAGCTATGAAATTAATCCAATATATGTGATAAATTGATAAGTTTCTGTGAAAATGCATTCACTAAAAGACCATCAAGACTCGTAAGTATTCTGTGACCCATCAGATTAGTATTAACTGTGGAAGTGAAAGTTGTTTTTCCATTGCCAGCTAGTTTGCTATGCCTCATGGACATTCAAAGAAGAAAACACCAGGCATGAAAGCATGCTGTCTGCTTCGCTTACATAGCCCACTTCTACATGTTTCTTTTCCAGTAGCTGGGCAACCAACTGTCAGAACAGAAGCCATAGATATTCCTTCCTTCAGATCTGAATGAAATGTGCAGTATAGCATTTCAGTGTAACTTTAATAATACTGGCTTAATTTTCTTAGTTCTGATTAGGTGAAATGTACTTTACTCCTAACTGACATCTAATTAGTAAATAAATGTTTAAAATTCGGTCTTTATCATGAGTTTTTGCTTAAGGAATATGAATTTCTGAATCACATAAAGTGACTGGGTTTATTAACATGTGATTCTCTTATGCAGGATACTGGAAAGATATGGATGTATTTTCTCCACCCCCTGATTATTTTTCACGATTCACTAAACTATTCCATGTGCCGAGATAAAAATAAACTATAATATGACTGGTTTTCTCCTACTCTTTAATTATAAAATAGCAGAGACTGCTTATCTAGTTCCTTTTTCTAGTTTTATCCTTTTAACTGAAATTAAGTGTGGGGTTGTTTGTTTCTTTTTTTAGTTTGTCTTTTTCCTGACCACCACTTTATCAATATATGGAGGTTTTATCACCCCCACCCCCATTTGGCAGTCTGCTGTGTATAGTTAGGAAAATATTAAACATCTGTCTGTATACTCTTGTGTCTTTATCTGCTGTATAAAGGTGGAAGTCAATTAGGGGAGCCATTAAAAATGACACTGAGTGTACTTCATGAGAAAGACTCAGTATTTTAGACAATTTGGACTGAGAGCGTAGTGTGATAAATGATCCAAAGGAGTTTTTCTGTCATCATTGTGTATGTCTTCAACGTGTGAATCTGGATACACTGGAAAAACACAGGTTTTCTGCAGCAGTTCTCCAAACCAGAAGGAAAATGTGATTACATGGTAGTTTGGGCAGAAAAGGCTGAGGGAATGTAAGGTGTCTTCACTAGACAAGGAGTTGCAGGCATCACTGAGGCAGGAAGATGCAAATCTTTAGCAGGTTTCATTATGTTTGGGAGCTGGTAAGTTAGAGTAATTTACCAGGTTTTGGGGGAGGGAGGGAATGTGACATCGGCATGTCCAAGTCTGTGCTTATAGGGGTTCCCCCCTTCTTTTTTTGAGAGGGGAAGAAAAAAACCAGGACTTTTAACACTTTCATGTTTGTGAAATACTTAAGTTAAAATTGCACTGTAATATATGGCTGTTTGTGCTTACATGAAGTCTTTAATGTTCAGCATGTTCTGATCTAGAAAACAGGCAGAAAATCAAAGTTATTAAATACTGAATAGTAAATCCACAAATCTGTGTTTTTTGAGAAGCTTTTATTTGCAGCCTGTATGTTCATTCAGATCACTACATGGCAGTGATACTGTAGTATGTTTTGTTTTGGAACTCTTACTTTTGCATTGATCTTCAGCCTCTGAATTAATAAAAATCTAGGTTTAACATTTCAAGTTTAGTTAGTCTGTTCAGATATTGGTAATGGCTGAAAACGCTGTAGATTCCTGGAGTTTGGTGCGGTGCTGGCCTGGGAGTGTAAAAGGCTGTTTTGATATTTGTAACCACTTCGCTGTCTTGTTTAATTAACCTTGGACAGGACCAAGCTGTCTGCATGTATAAGAGTATATGCCATGTGTAGAAGAAAAGTTGGGGGGGGGGGTGTTGGACTATTACATAGGGTTAATGGCATTGGTTTTGAAACTTTTATTTTTTTTAGTATAGCTTTTTTTCCTCTACTGTAGACAAATTTCTAAAAAGCAAGGTACAAAACACAGATTTACTTTTCATGCAAAGCTAATATTTCAATTTACAAAAAAACACCTGAGTGTGACACAGTAACATTGTGAAGTGTCCTGTATTTAACCTGGTGGGGTTTGGGGTTGGTGGTTGTTTTGTTTTGTCTTTTTTGGTTTTTTTGTTCTGAAACTTAATTTTCAGTGATTTGTCTATTCTGCCCTAATTAATGGGAAGAAGCCACATATTGTTAGTTTGCCTTAAGGGTATATTTTACTAGCAGTGAAATTAAATAATAACATATTTATTATAATACTATATAATATAATTATGTAATATAAAATAAAATATTTGTTATAATATTATTTTGATCTCTGGACATAGCTTATGATAAATGATATCCATGTGGATTTTGCATGCACCCCTAGTAGGTGTTAGCCTCCCTCTCGCTGAATACCTGAGCTCTGTAGCAACCCAGGAAGAGTCCATGCTGTTTCAGACAATAGGAAAGCAAATAATCACCACATACATTATTAACTGTTATTAGATGTTATTGTTACTAGATTGATGGATGCGTGTATTCCCTTGCCTTACTTCTAGGTTCATATTTTTATCAAAGATCATTAAAAAAAAATTACTGCTAAGTTCTTGTTGTCATTGTCAACACCCTGACCACTTTAATTTAGAGATAACTGATAGCATCGTCTTTATTTGATTACTTATCTTCTAAGTTCCAATCTGGCTCACTTCTCAAGATCACAGAACTGAAGAAAATGCTAAAGCATGACTGGTTCTATACAGTTGTCTGCAATTGCTTTTCAGTTTTGACTCCTAACTCCCATTGCTTGCTTTCCTCTACCTTACTTTTCCCTTTCTTTGGAATATATGTGAGACCATTTGAGCAGACAGTTGAAGCATCAGGGGCTCTGTCAGTAATATTTGCCCTCTACTTGGCTATAGAGGTCACCATACCTGAGCAAGAAATTCCCCTTGTGTGCAGGTAAAGTAAAAATCTTCACCATTCTGATCTCCTAAAAATGCTTTAAAAACAAATGCTGGGGCTTAGAACCATAGCTTGACTAATGAGTGTTGCAAGCAAAACATTGTTCCTAGGTGTTTACTGTTTTTGACACTAATACTGTCCATAGTTGGAATTTTCATTTGAAACTGCAATGTCTTTCTTGTCTTGTTCCTTTGTACTAGGATTATTCCAGTGATGATACTAAACTAGAATACAATGTAGATGCAGCCAATGGTATTGTTATGGAAGGCTATCTATTTAAGCGAGCCAGCAATGCCTTCAAGACTTGGAACAGGTAATTATTCAGAACCTCTATTTACTAGTTTGTTAAGATACTGCTTGTTAAGTTAAGTTCTGGTCTGACTATGACCTATGCCACTCACTGATTTCGCAGTTTTGACAGAACACTTGGATGACTCTGTTAATTAATGTAGAGATTATACTTCAAAAATGTTTTTCCCTTCTTCTATGTCCTAGTTGTTTGCAAGCATTTTTAAGTGTTATCTTTAATCTGGAGAAGTCCTATGTGTAGAAACCATGTCGTCTTGTGTACAGTCCGGCTCTGTAATTGCATTTTGGCCTTACTTTGAGATTAAAACAGAGCAATCCTTATGATTGTATGCAAATTTCTGTGCTTGGAAAATAAGCATTAGAGGACAAAGTAAAATGGAAGTTAGATAGCCATTGGAAGCAGGGAAACCTGGTGAAAGACTCAAATTATTTCTCCTGAAAGATAAGCACATAATTGTTATCCTTTACAATTCCTGTCCTGTGAGGTGAATTCTGCTTAGTAGTTTTGAATCTCCAGTTGGCAATTCAAAATACATTGCTAGTCATGTCCCTTTAACAATGTATATTTTATGATTATTTACATCTTTTTCTCCCTGAACAGGATTTCATTTGTACTTCCAAGGGTATAAGCTTTTTTTCAAGGAAATATATATATGCTGAAGCATTTACAGTATAGTTGGATACAGTTCTTGCATTTCAGAGTTAATTTATTGTGATAATAGAGGTCTTTTTACTATCTTATTCTCTCTAATTTTTAGAGCAGTGCTTCTGTTAAACTACTTGCTGTGTTTCAAAGGCCAGAATATGCATTTGGGTATGTGGTCCCTTCCAATCTTAATTATTCTATAATTCATTGAGCATCTCAGAACACCACAAGTCTATGACAGACTGGGATTGCTTCAGTTAAACCCGTAGACTGATACAAGGGCCACTGGTGTCAATAAGACTGTATCTGTATTACCAAGTCATGTGCAACTAGTATAAGGGATTTTGCTTTGGACTACTTCTAGTCTGGTCCTGTGGTCTGATTATCCATCTGTAATGTACTTTCTAGGTTAGTTTCATCCAAGCAGAATTCAGAGTTCCCAAAAACAAATCTGCCAGGCATTAAGGGACAGTGAAAGGAAAAAAACTGGGAGATATGCTTCCTAGGTTCCTGGTGTGAATGGACACAAAATGAATATGGGAAAGTCATAATTAAGATATGCAGTGGCATTCTTTCAGGTTAAGTTATGGGTTTGAACATATATAAAAACAGTATTTAAGAGAGCCAAGATAAACAGCTCGGTAATGAGTCAAGGTTACCTACTTTTACTATATAATTTTTATTTGCTTATAGTTTTTTCTTCTGCTTGTTGCAGGAGTATTCAGTCGAGCTAAACCTTTAATTTTTTTTAAATGTAAAATCTTGATAATTTATCTAACTGCAGTAGGCTAGTGGGATGCTTCAGAATTAGGCAGAGAATAGCTATCTATCACACAGTTTAGAAACTGAATTAGTCATTTTAATTTTGTATTTCACATTCACAAACCATTTCCAATTCTTATGACATTACTATTATAATACATAAAATACATGTTTGAGATCTTCTTAATGAAGACAACTTATATTAGTTTCTGAATCTAGCCCCATTTTACTAAAAATAAAGATGTGGTTTTATCTTAGTTGTATTTCTGGATACATTTGTAGTTGCTTGCTACATGGTAGGCACTGAAGTGGTCATTGCCACATTCCACTGCCTCTTTCCACTGATGGAATGCTTTGCTTAGGTACAATTGCAGTTTCAGCTGCTGGGAGATAATACCGATTAAAGTTTACCATCTATTAGAGGTGAGTGTTTTTCCCATCACAAGGCAGAGCAGAAGAAAGGACAGTGTCATTGCATTAAACTGTTTTGTGCTTAAAAATTTATAATGACATACCAAAGGAGGAAACATTTAGAGAATTACATACTTTATGTGAGAGAATTCAGAGCTGAAGTGAAAAGCCCCAAGCCAGACAAGATATTTTCAGTGTTCTTATTGGATAGGTAGTTTGCTGCTTCATTTTATGCCCTGTCTTTTTGGGAAGTGGGTGGAAAATCAACCACCTGAAACAAAACCGGCCTAGAAAGAAATACTGGAATTTCCTGATGTTCTGGACCAAAGATGATGGCACTGATCTTCCTTGCTAACTGCTTATTGCACTGTCAGTAGTAACCTGTGTTGGAAATGATAGCTTGTCTTTTTCCTCTGTTGGTATCAGTTGGTATTTTGATGGTTCTAGGCCTTTTCAGGTACTCTTAAGACAGAATTAAGGATACCAAAATTCATTGCAAGTACCACTATTAGTATATAATTGCCAGCATTAAAAACATAAGATAAAAGGAAATGTTACAATGACTTTTGTCTGGGTTTGACGCACATCAGTACGGTTCTAGCTAACAAATTAGAAAATTGTGATGCTTTCCAGCCCTAACCATTCTATGATTCTTGGTCCATGTCTTGGTCAATGAATCTATGGACACCATAGTGGATTATTTTGGGAGAAGTCTGGTTGCTGGGGGAGAAATTAAAAACAAAAACATGTAATGCAGCCCATTGAAGTGGGGCAAATCTGTTCTAATAAATGAAGACCTGGTTTGTTTTCAATCCAAGCTAATTTCTTTCTAGGATGATGTAGTTTCTTCCTGGATCAGCTGGCATCTTGGGTTTCATTGTCTCAAGACTTGATACTTATTTGGGCTATTGCATCAAATTTCGTGTTCTTGGAATAGTTCTGCATGACACTGGCTCGAGAAACAAATAGTGTTTGAACAGGTTACAAAGTAAACCACAAGCTGTTTGCATTTCAATGTTGTTGTGTTTTGAAAGAGCTGAAGATTTTGCAGCCTCATTTTGTTGTGACTAAATGGATAGCATATAATGTTTGTGAGTATTTCAGATAATACACTTTAGTGGAATCAAAATCATATCTTTATACTGGAAGGCCTTACAGCAACAGGAATGGAGACCTGGTTTTTGGAAGTATGTCTGTTTGTAAATAGTATCTCTTATTGTATACCATTTTTCTTAAGGCATCAGGAGATGAAATCAGGTGCATTTATTATTGTGGAGCAGCAGGTGGAAAGCTGTTTTAGTTCCTAGAAATTAAAATGAAGAACGAGTCTGTATCATGAACAAAGATATATACATAAATAAATGTGTGTAGGGAGAAACACATTTATTATGCACTGCTATAATCTGCATAGGTTTTAGGTTGGATGTTTTAAATGTTTTCCTTTTTAATTCTGCTGTATTTTCAGATCATGCTAATTCTTTGCTTATTTTGCTCATTTTGCATTTTTCATTTCCTTCTCCTTCTTTCCCTTATGTTTTAATCCTACCCCATTTTTTCACATGACAGGAAAAAGCCAGATCACATCAGGTACCAACCAGCTTCTTTTTTACCTTCCCAATGTTTCTTTGGCACGCAAACAGCTCTTCATTAACCCTGCATTTAATTTTGATTACTTGCAATGGATGTATAAACGGCTTAGCCTAAGAAAATAACAGAAGGATTCTGCCTGGGATGCCCCAGTATACCTGCTGCTCAACAACTTTAAAAGAATAAGAAAGATAGAGCTAGATATAGCTGAGAAGGAATTAAAGCTTCTGCACTCAAACTTGTGAGCGTTATATGATCGGTGTTTTGACTTTTTCCAGTTGAAATTGGTGAGATTTTTTCTTATCAACTGCATTGGAAATAAAGATGTGACTTTTAAATGTTGTGCATTCTTAAATCACTCTGGTTTATTTGCATGCTGATAGCAACTAGTGAAGAAAAAGATTTCCTTTTGAGAATCAATAAGCATGATTCATTTTTTTAATTGTAAAAATTTAAGGTTTTGGATTTTTTTTTAATTACTCAGTTCTCAAAAATTTGCAATGTTTTTCAATGAATTTTGTATTGTTTCTGATTTACTTTAGATTTTTAATTGTGTGGGTATAAATGTTGGAAAACATTCAGTTTCTAAACCCAAACAGCTATATCTAAGCACCACTGAGGCAGTGCAAATTACTCAAAGATTCCCCAAGTATGTTTTCTCCTTCACCATGCTCCGCTCCTGTTACTGACAGAATGACGCATTTAAAGAAACTTTGACAATGGTCAGTACTTAATACACACATGTTGCCTAAAGGTTTATGAACAATAAATCTTACAACAGGATAGAGGTTGCATACCATATAATAGCACCTTCTGTACATTTATTGTACCTGAAAGCCTCTTGGCTGTTACTGCTGTAGACCCCCAGCAGTTTCTCTCTTTACAGTAATTAATGGAATTTATTGATGGTACATAGTTAATATGAAATAACTCAAATATTTTGGCCTGAATAAAACTGCTGTGGTGCTCATGTGTTGGAGGGCAGTCTGACACTTCTGTTTTTTCAAGCATACAATAAAATGTATTAACTTTTTTTTTCTTTTGACATCTACTTCAGAAGTGTGATCTTCAAGTTATACTACATTCTAAATTGTTGATCTTGCTCAATATATTTCCTTAAAACAAATAAATACCAACTCCCTCCCCCTTTTTTGGTTGGACTTGAAAGTTCTCTTAAACAGATTTAATTTCTCTACTAGGAAAAAAAGGGTCTGAAATACTTTGAAAATTTTTAGACTAGGGTTTAAAGATGACACAAATTTGTTTTACAGTTTGTGTGCTCACCTATATCCAGTGAATCAGATTGGAACTTTCTTACTTTAGTAACTCACTAAATATTTAGCTGTAGAATAAATGAAGCATTACATTCATGAAGTTAATTACACCACCTAAGGCTATTGTTAAGGGTTTGCTCTGTTGCATGTTATCTTGGGGCAAGGCTTAATTTTTATTTTTTTTTTCCTTATCACTTAAGCACTGCTTTCCGTGCTTTTCTATTTGCTGTTCTGTTTGACAAAAGCACATAAAAAAGCTGGAATTTATTTTCTAGTCTACTTTTTAAGTTACCTATTTAAATATTAGCAATAACCTAACTTATGCTCATATTTGAGGCTTAGTTACTGCATCTGTAGGGTTTGGGGTTTTTTTTTTTAATAGATGGTAAAGGTGATACCTTTTAAATAGCAGTGACCAAAACTACTACTGTTAATAAATTGAAGAAGTAATTAACTTTTTCATTATTCTGTTTAGTTAACTTCAGGCAGAAAGATGTCTGTTATTATGTTTGAAACCCAGTATTAAAAGAAGATCCTGTTGTTCCTTTTAAAATTACTTTTAAAATTAAATATATCTGCACAACATTTGAAAATATTCTTAAAAGGTAGAATCTCATCTGTCTATGAAATACTAACTTTTCTAACAGATATTAGAATTTCTGATTTGAATCTAACTTTATCTTAATTTTTCATAATCTTCGCTTCTTTTCATGAATGGCTTGTGGTGGTTGAAAAACTACATGGACCCTTCTTGTTACTAATTGTAGTAACCTGTAGCTACAAGTTCAACAGCCTGTGGAGAATAACAAGATATGTTGCATTCAGTATTTTATATCGTGTTGCCATTCAAACTATTTGCAGTGCAGGGGGAAGTGAAATGTGGTATAAGTGGAGTATTTGAGGCACTGGGGAATTATGCTGTGATAAACACAGGTTCACATTATAAACCTGAACAAAACCAAGAAGTGTACATTTCTCTGCAGGGCTCAGTTATGTTTTACATTCCCTTCATTTTTTGTCAGTTCAAAACCAGTGATGATTGGTTAGCTTTTATTTTGTTCATCCCCAGAAGAGCTAGACATGTATGGTTATATTTGCCGCTTTTTTATATTTAGCGGTCTGATAAAATGCCTTGTTAGAGATCTGAAGGACTTACAATTTTTTCCAAAACATGAATGATATTTCCGTTCTCTGTGAACAGTATCCTATCTGCACAGTGAGTTTGACAAGGAAGGATAGAGTTCAGAGGAGTTTGTAAGTGTTACATTATCTTTTGGATTTTATAGGCTGCCTTCATTAAATCTTTTGTTTGATATTTTTCTACAAAGCTGAGGCTTAAGTTGGGATCTTACTTAAAAGGTTTTCTTGGTTTTGCTTTGGTTTTGTATGCAATCTTTTTATTTCAGCATCTAAAATTTTAAGAAATACTAACTATAGATAGATGTAAAACCTGCATGGAGAGAGCAACGGTAGGAATTTTAGTGCCTTAGTAAGCTATTTATTAGTTATACTCAAAAATAGTTCAGGAGTGAGTAGCTCACATAGTTCAAGGATTTTTGTTATTCAAACTGTCTGAATTTGTCTTATCAAAAAATCACTTTAAAATGTAATTTACTGCTGAAATACAGAAGTACATGTTCTTTGAAATGAAAATGTTTTGTGTGGTATCTTAACTAATGTCATAACATGAATGTATTCGTTTATGACTCAAATTATCTGAACCTTGCTCTCTTTTCTGTTTTGTCTCTGCTTTACCTTTTTTTCATTGTTCTCTCAAAATACTTGGCAAAACTGACTACGGCATTAATTTTGTGAATTCTTTTAGGCAGTCTCTCTGTAGACTGTGTATTAGCACATTTCAGTCAAATAAGCACTGTAAAATTAGTTATGTATTCTCTGGATGTCTCTTCATTTGAATAGGCGCTGGTTCTCAATACAAAATAACCAACTTGTGTACCAGAAGAAATTTAAGGTAGGTATCAAAAGCTGGGATAGTCTGGGGCCTGGGTGATGGTTTTCCTGATTGATTGGGGGAGGAGAAACAGTGCTGATGCTGGCATCCTGTGTGGTCTTCAACAACCTACTGCTGTTTCTAAATTAGTTTCTCCTTTGTAAAATTAGATTAATAGCTGTGCTTACAGATTTTGGGATTCCTGTGTAGTGACTTGTAAGCACATAATTATTGGCTTGGGGTTTGTTACCTTGTTGCAGAAAAGGTTTCTGAAGAGCTTTAAAAGTTGTTGGTCCCAAAAGGCTTGTACTCACTTGCTGACTGGGAAATGCTCCATCCTGTTCTTCGAGCAGTTGTGTTTAACTGTTTCAGGACCTGTTCCCTCCTGTTGCTTACTGGGTTCACATACCCAATTTAGCAGCTGGAGAGAGAGCAGAGGATTAAAAATGGCATGAAATCATTTCTCAGGAAACAGTCAGGAATACCATATACGTGTATTTAATACTGAAAATGTAGGGTGGTTCAGCAGTATCTCTTTTTCTGCTGGTGAGAAAGTACAGTTGTATATTACAGCAGCAAGCATAGCACTGCCTCAAGCTGTAAAGCCAGCCTTTTCAAGCAACATTTGGGCCTATGCTCCTTTGTTCACTGTTCTAGAATCTGCTTTTGTGCCACATAGCTGTAGCTGTTTTCCATTCTGGAAAAAAGCAGAGAACTGTATGGGTGGGGTGGGGGTGTGGGGTGTAGAGAAGGAAGAGTTTATGAGTTCATTTCTCTTCAGTCTTAACAGACCAGGTTCAGAGCATGTCCCTTGTTACCTGGTGGTAACAAATCAAAGATCTTAATTTTTGTAGTGGGAAAAGAAACAGTTGAGTTTGTATGAACACATTTGAGTTGGGCGTTCTGCATTTGTGAATTCCAATTACTTTTTCAATACAGCTTTGAAGAGCTGTTAGCTTAGAACAGGATTTGTATGAATTGAATCAAATTTTCAAAATGAAAATTTTCAAAATTTCAAAATAATATTTGTTATTTATTTGTGAGTTAATTGTATTTCTTAGAAAGTATCTTTGAACTCTTTTTAATACTGTTGTTTTGAATAAGGTGTTGATTATTTAGTGAAGTGGATTGTAGGCAAAAACGAATTTACAACGTTTGTGATAAATATTCATTAAATATAACTAAGCATTAAAATGCATCTAAATATTTCCTGCAAAGTACCTCTGATTCCACCTAATAAATATGTAAACAAGCAAATAGAATTAAATTCTAGATAATATGGAACTCTTGGCAACTTTAGCTTTCCTCTGACTTTTTTTGTTAATTTTTGTCTCTTAGGATAATCCCACAGTAGTTGTTGAAGACTTGAGGCTTTGCACAGTTAAGCACTGTGAAGACATAGAAAGACGTTTCTGTTTTGAGGTGGTTTCTCCAACAAAGTAAGAAGAGATGGAGCATGTTTATTTAAAAATATAAAAAGTAGTTACATTCAGTTGTCTTCACATGGGAGATTAACATTTCTCTTGGGACAGATCTAAACAGGAAAGGTATCTGAACAATTCTGTTCCCTGAAATTTTGGCTAACAGTAAGTGATGCTGTGAGAAGTGTTCCTAGTGTTTAGTTCACTTTTGGCATTAAAATAAACATGCATTCTTGTGAGGAGCTGTTGTAACTTAGTAGTTACTGATACTAGTGAGCTACTCAGTAATGTAAAAACAGATCTCGGTTTCTCCAGATTTGATTGGTGTATTGAAAGAGAAGCATATTAATAAGTTGTTGTCTCAATAGTGTTAAATTACATTTCATAATGCAATAAATGAAACCACCAAATAAAAATATCTTTCAGCTTTAGCAGGGCAGTTTATCAGTTGTATTTGGAGAAGTATGGCAGTCCTGCTGCATACAGCAAGGGCAGGATGTGGATTTCTCATTAATGATTTTGAGATGTGACCATATTTACATTAATTAAATTGTAAATTAATTAGGTTTACATTAATTAAACTGTATATGTAAGACTGATACCTCTGTCTTGTGTAATTAGTCACAGAGGTAAAATGCATGTGAGCATATAAAAATGGCAAAATTGGAAGAAGAAAGGGAATAGGAAGCTAACTTATTCTCTGGGTTATTTGAAGAGTTGTATCTGTGTTTTAGCACTACCTGCAAATAGTTTTGAAAAGTTTGTCATTTATAAAAGGTTAGCTGTTTTGTTCTCTCAAAATAAATGGGTATATTAGATGATGCCTGCTAAACAATATACTTGTGATAAAAGAGACTTTCTCTATTTTATTGAACAATTTGTTGTTTGATGTTAGCTGCTTGGTCAGTCTCTGAATCTTGAGTACACATGTAATTTGTCACAGAAGCTGCATGCTTCAGGCGGACTCAGAAAAGCTGCGGCAGGCATGGATTAAAGCTGTTCAGACCAGTATTGCTACAGCATATAGAGAGAAAGGGGATGAATCTGAGGTAAGTTTAAAAATCAACCAAACAATAACCACCCCTTTAGATCCTGGAAATTAAAAATAGAGAAAACATCTTTTTGCAAGTGGAGAGGAACAAAAAGAATCCACTGTCTTCCAGTGGAAATGCAGTGAAACTTTGAAGGCTGTGTTTACTAATCTTAATAATGTTACTTTGGCCTGTATGTTTTGATGAGATTTTTCTGTAGTGTGATTAAAATTCATAAGCTACCCCTATATTTGGTTCTATATTTCTTCTAAAATAGCTTTTTCAGTCCTCCGGCCCTCCTTGGCCTTAAATGCAGAAGTTACTTTTCTAAGATCCTAGTGCCCAGTCAGTATCCATAGGACTTTTATTTCTTTAATTTGGTGTGTGTTTCTGGTTTTGTTTGTTTCCTTTTTTAGAAACAGGAAAAGAAATCATCCCCTTCTGCTGGAAGCCTAGAATCTGGGAGTGAGACAAAAGAGAAGTTGTTAAAGGGGGAAAGTGCTCTGCAGCGAGTTCAGTGTATTCCTGGTAATGCTGCCTGCTGTGATTGTGGTTTGGCAGATCCTCGCTGGGCCAGTATCAACTTAGGAATCACGCTGTGCATTGAGTGCTCCGGGATACACAGGTTGGGGAACATTTCAGAACTGTATTTGATGTATGCATTGACTTGATTAGGAAGGGTGGTGTTTGCCTCTTCAAATGTATATTGAAGCATGATTGGAGACCCCTGTTTGTAAACAGAATTAAGGTAACTGCTTTATTTGCATAAATTAATGGTAAAGCTGTGTGAGGTAAGAGATAGCATGTAGTTACAGATTAGTATTTTTTTCATGCTGTTTAGGAGCTTGGGAGTCCACTTTTCAAAAGTAAGATCTTTAACACTGGATTCATGGGAACCTGAACTTCTAAAGGTATGATAGTTTTGAAATGAGTTTCTATTTGGTACTTAAATTGTTGTTCTAAAGCCTCTGCATCACAAAGTTCAATGGGGGAAGCACATTTTTTCCTAGTGCATGTTTCTGCCTTTGAGTAGAAAATGTTCGTAGTTGGGTTTTTTTGTTCATACTTTCTTATAATACATGCGGTAGCAGTAGTCATTCCTGGTACAGATTTGCAAGTCAGAGGAACTTGTGACACCTTCAGGTTTGCAAATGCACTTTGAGTAGTAAGTTTCATCTGGTACTTCAATATATAAAAAGGGAAATCTGTTTACAGACCAATAATGTAGTGGGCTTAAAAATTTTGGAAGTGTTACATCAGCCTAAAGCATGGTCATAGTTGAAAATTCAAATACCAGCTCTTACAGTGAAATCTTGATTCCGTACTGTCCTGGCTTGTAGGGGGACACCTGTGCAACTGCTCGTGTGCCAAAATTCTAGCTTGAAATACATGGTTATGCAAATTGGGTAACTTTGAAATACCGAAATAGGAACTCATGCATGGGATGCTTGTGTGCAATTGGCTAACTAATGCAAAGCATTTGTTTCTAGCTGTGACGTTCTGGTAGTTAGGTATTGCTTCTCCCTTCTGAATAATCAAAAGACACAATATAAGTAGGGGTGTTTGTCCTGTGGTTTAACCTTAAATAATTTTAGTATCAATGTGTTCATGCTGAGGACACAACAACAACAACAACAAAAAACAAAACAAAACAACACCCCTTGTCCTGTTCATGTAAATACCAGAGCAGAATGTTCTACCTGGTATTGGAAACTGGTCGTTTCATTATCATGATATAAATGTTTCATGATACCATGTTTAGTTTTGCAAGTGTACTTTTACCAATAAAAATACTAAGTTGTAAAAATAGGCTGAGTGAGGTTAAAAACAACTAAGTAGATGAAGCCTTTTGTAGCTGTATTTGAATTTACTTATTTTGCTTCATAGCTTATGTGTGAATTGGGAAATGATGTTATAAATAGAATTTATGAAGCCAAGTTGGAAAAAGTGGGAGTAAAGAAGCCACAACATGGAAGCCAAAGGTAGGAGTTTACTAGCAGTGCCTCTTCCTTTTCATGTTGCTTCATTCAGCCTCCAGCTTTAAAAGACACTGTCAGTTAACTGTGTTTAACTGTTAACTGTGATTTACTCTGTTTCCCCCTATCATCAGTATGTTTTGTGTTCCCCTTTATCTCACTTTCTGTCTTTACTGGGAATTCCTTCTGTTGGTCCCTTTGTGCTTCATGTTCTGTTTACGTTTCTGTTCATGTGGATTGGTTGGTTGTTTATTTTTTCTGATCTTGCTCTCTCCTTTTGATGACAACTCTATAGTATCCTGTTCTGTCTCACCAGTGTGGGCATGTTGCTTTTGTTTCCCGTCTGCTTTGTACCATCTCAGCCAGCTTTACTTGGTCTGTGAGCACTCCTGGAAGGAACCTGTAGCTGTGCCTTGTGTTTACAGTGACTTTGAGTTCAACTTTTGTTCCCTGATCCCGAGAATGCTCTCTTTGTTTACATTGTACATGAGTGCTGCTGCTTTACGGCAACCTTCTTATGATTGTGCTGTTGTCTTCCCTTTCTCTCTGGCACTAATTTGTGTTTGAAGGTGGTTTCCTAATGTTTTGTTCTGCTGCATAAGATTTCTTTTTAAAGTTTGTTTTTTTTACCAGCTTTCCCGTTTTGTACTTCTTTCTATCAGGCAGTTTTGTGGTAAAGAAAACAGCAGTTTATAAAGTGTTGGCAATTAGGAGACAACGATAACATAAATAGTGTAGGAGATCTGCTACATTTTCCTTCTAGGGATTCTAGGGATAACTACTTATCAGGAGTTTCTATAGTAATACTTGTATAGGCCATTTCATCAGTTTGTCACAAGTAGAGTGTGTGTTTTAAGGTGATAACCTCAGGTTACAAGAAAAACTATTTCCGTATAGGTTAAGGAACTGGTGGCTGTGCCTACCTGAGGCTAATTATTGTTATTGTTTTCTTGTGCAATCTTGATGTTCTTTAACAAATGTTGCAGTTTATATTTTCCTAAGAAACTAAATGTATGCTGTGTTAATTGGTTATTAACAATGTAAAACATGTATAAAGGATTAATGCTGAGAAGTAACATACAGTAATTAATGCTTATTTCTTCCACATACTACTTTATGAGTCCTCTGCCTGAAAAAAAAAAACATAAGAAAACCAACATATACGAACGTAACAAGATTACCTTCTTTTGAGCTTTATGCAAAATTTAATCAAGAATCCAGAAGGAGTTATACAACGTGCTTTTTGTATTTCTGAAAATGTACTGAAAATATGTCTTATATGCAACGCCAAACTACAGTTTTGGATACTGGCTTTAGTATGAAGTGGACATTGTTTTAATACTAAAATATTAGCTTATGAACTATAGTGTTTTTCTATATGACAGGCAGGAGAAGGAGGCATACATCAGAGCAAAATATGTGGAAAGAAAGTTTGTAGAGAAGCAGCCTGCATCAGTATCTCTGCCTCAATCTGGAACAAAAGGTTTGCCTCAAAGTAAGGAAGAGAAAAGGCACAGTGGCCCTGAAAAATCCCTTTTGGCAGGGGAACAGGGTGTGGCAGCCCATAAAGGTATTTACACACTTCTCTCCTTAGCTATGTTACCCACATTCTTTTTTAAGTAACATATTTTTTGTATTAATTGATTTCCTGCCTCCTGCAGAGAAACCAAAATCTGATTTTTAAATAGGTCATAGCCTAGTTCAAAAGTATGGGGGAGAAAAGGCTTATTCAGACGTGCATTTTTAGGTGGGGAAGAGTTTGGAGTGGGGATGCTTATTCAGAAACATATTAACCACCTTCTTTCCTCCATATTTTCATTCTTATTTTTTCCAATAACGTTCTTTCCTGCCCTATCCCCTCCTTACTGCCTGCTTTGTGCTTTGCTAACTTGCATGTCCCAGCGGTTGCTGTAAGTAGCGACGAGGCGAGGCGGGAGTCTCTGTTCTGTCCCGATGAACTAGATTCACTCTTCTCCTACTTTGATACCTCTTCAAAACTACGTAGTAGTAAGTACTACAGCTATGGCGTGTTCAGTATTTGCACTAGTGATCCATTGTGTGTTGTGGCCATCTCCCTGCCTTGAATCTGTTTCCTCCAGGCTACTGCATTGCTTAGTGTTTTCTTGAAATAATTTAAGCTTTTTTACTTATCCTGATCTTTTCCTTTCTAATAATCTTTGACATTTATTATTATTACAGATGTTATGGTTGCAATATGTGACTTCATATTTTTCTGTGGATGCACTATCGAATAATTGCTAGTCATTAAAAAAAACCCTATGTGTTTGGGACCAAGTATAAGAGTTTGCTTTATTATCATGGTATCTGTGAAGAGCAGGTAACTTGAAGTCTGCATAATAATCACAGTTTCTCTCCAAAACAGTGCAAAGCAGTGACAGTGGGATCCAGCAGAGTGTTAATGACAGCAGAGAACACCTTGCCTCTACTATATCAGCCAACAGCTTGTATGAACCAGGTGTGTTCAGCTTTCTATTGTAAAATGAAAATTTAATCACTTCTTGGTAGCATGTTCTTGTAAAAGAGATACGATTCATGTCTTTTCTACCTGGTGGGCTGAAACATTTTTAACAATAGTGGTAATTGCTTGAGTGACCTTTCTGTCCTCTGGGCTTGGTAGCAACAATGACTTTGAATCCTTCTAAATGAGTTCAAAGAGTAATTTTTTTTTTTCCAGTCAGATGATACTAAGCCAGAACTGCATTTTTTCACAGACAGAACAATGCTTCATTTTTATAGACAAGCCTCCACAGAAATGCATAATCCTTTTATAAATAGTTAAATCTTTGGTGATGGAATTGCTATTAAGTCACAGATAACAGGCTTTTACATGTTGTTTGAGTATTCTTGCTTAATTATTCTGTTTTCTGCTTATGTGGAATCGACCATGTCTTTAAGTATTACTCCCTCTTTACTGAATGTTTTATAAACTTATTGATGAAATTATTTGCTATTTAATATTAGCATTCTTGTCTGACAGAGGTATTGAGTATGGTCTGTCAAAATATTCAGAACATTATTTGTAAAGCAAACTTACTCTTCTACATCAAAGCACTCTTCTGAGGTATGTTTTAAATCCAGTAGTTCACAGCTGTGGTTTGTAGGCAAGCAGTATGAGGCTTCGATGCTTTTTTTGACTGCGTTGTCGAAACACTTAGGATGCTGTAGCTCATGAAAGCTTATATATGACAAAGTCTTTATCTCTCAGACTTCATTCCGTATAACTTATCAAGATGATAAGAGAGATTATGCTTTAGTCCAAAAGATTATAGCAGCACAAGTAATCAGTAAATAACAATGCTATCTTTTAACGAAAATCAGGTCAGAACAGTATTAGTCTCATATTCAAGTCTATCCAGCTGTTGCAGATGAAGGTATATTTGTATGACTATATGCAGGAAATTAGTGCTATTCATATCTTGCTGTATAGGGTAAACCACACTGCTAACCTGAAATAATTTCTTAAAAATTATATGGAATTTGTAAGTTGAAGGCTATGCACACATGCCAGTACTGGGGGAGATAATGTTTTCTAGGCAATAATAATTCTGTGAAGTGGGCATGCCTGAATGCTGGAACAAGCTAAAAGCATCTGTGACTTGTCCTGGCAGAATGAGACAACAATGCATAGTGTTCTGCAAAACTGGAGCTACCTTACACCAGAGAAATTACATTTTTGCTCAGAATTCCAGGAGGTACCTAATAAAAAGAGGTTGGATAAGCTTTTTTTTTTTTTTCCCTCCAGAAGGAGACAAGCACGAGTCTTCTGTGTTCTGCAACTCTAAGCAGCATAGTCCAGGATTGCAGCTGTATCAAGCTGCCTTTGAGAAGAATCTTCCTGATATGGCGGAAGCATTGGCTCATGGAGCTGAAGTAAACTGGGTCAACCTAGAAGAAAACAAAGCAACACCACTCATTCAGGCAGTGCGAGGGGTATGTGATGTACAGCACTAACTGATGTGGGAGGAAGGGAAGTGGAATAACAGGGATATTTCTGTGTCACTGTTTTTTTTTTTAACAACAAAGTTGTTTCTGAACTATTTTTTTCCTGTTAATGCTTTGTTTGGAATTGTATAACGTAGCAGTGTTTAAATTTGATATGGAAGCAAATTCTTTTTGTTCCCTTTGCCACATGACTCAGTGAGAAGGCAGAGCAGGTTTGGCTCTTATTCTAGAGATCTGGTGCTGAATTGTTTCTTTGCTTTTATTCCATAGGGTTCATTGGTTACTTGTGAGTTTTTGCTGCAGAATGGGGCCAATGTGAACATCAGGGACATGAAGGGAAGGGGACCTCTGCACCACGCCACAGTTCTAGGACACACTGGGTAACTCACTGCTCCAGGATGTGTACATGACCATCCTTTACTATAGTTGTTAATGTGAAGCTTCTTCATTTCACCAAATATTCTGGCATTTTAGTACGTTTCATGATCTAGGTTTTTCTTAACTTTTGTGAAGAGAAAGGAAACAACACTTTGAATTAGCAGTCCCATCACTAGCAAAGCACACCTTTAAACACACTCTAGTCTAATTTTTAACATGTATTTAATAATGCTTTGAAATAGTGTGAACTTCTGGTGAAGACTCATGAGATTTTTCTTAGTTTCTCAGAAAATATGATACAAATAGGAGAAATGGTGTGCGACAGCCAAGGCTTTTGCTCACTCATGCCTCTTGTGTGTTGCACTGGGAGTATATCTCATTTCAAAATGTACTGCATTACATCTTGAGTTTTGGAATCATGGCTTTTAACTGAAACCCTGTAACAGTTCAGCTCAGATGAGGACACAACAATCTGATTGTAGTGCTCAAACTGCATTCATAAATTCTAAGTACAGTACAACAGCTTGGGAGAGTTCAAGGTGTAATCTTGGTCAGTTTGCCCATTTATAAAGATGGAAAATTGTAATAGCAGAATAAAAATCAAATCAGTTCCTATTGGGTAAATCAGGCATGTGTGAGCTGTATTCTTTCCTGTATTGATTTATCCTGCTCAGTGCTTCTTGTCTGTCGTGGTGAAAGGGATGAGATTTTTGGTTCTACAACCTGAGGGTAATACAGGAGGGTAGAGGCTTGCTTCTGAAGGGTTCAACTTCTTGCTGCGCTAGCGTGATTTGAGTTAGGCTCTTTGTAATGTGGATTAAATAAGTAAGGTTTTGCTTACTAGTGTGTTAACATCTTAGTTGTTCTAGATGAGCAGTGCTGTTTTGATCTGTTCAAGAGACTTGGGTGATTTAAGCCAAATACATTGCATCCAGTTTGAATTTATTTGCCTTCTTCCTTTATTGTTGTAGAAATGATTTTTAAATGCTTTTTCTAAACAGACAAGTGTGTTTATTCCTAAAACGAGGAGCAAACCAGCATGCCACTGATGAAGATGGGAAGGATCCATTGAGTATAGCAGTAGAAGCTGCAAATGCAGATATTGTAACATTGTAAGTTGTACCTCCTGTTTTTGCCCGGGTAACTAAAGTTTTCTGTTTCAACTTTAAAAATAAAAGAAATGTCAGAATTCCTTTACATAAAAACAGGCAGAGCAAAAGAAAAATCAAAGAGGGTGCAGTATCCATAGATGCCCCCTCTGGTGTGAGGTTCAGAAGTGCATTGTAGGTCTTGAATTGCAGTCTCTTAGTGCTTCAAATATGACACTGTTCTCTCGTCTTCTAAATCACAGGTTGCGTTTAGCAAGGATGAATGAAGAAATGCGTGAATCAGAAGGACTCTATGGACAGCCAGGTCAATACTCTACTAATAACCATACTGAAATGCAGTATAAGAAATGTATTCAGGAATTTATCAGTTTACAATTAGATTCTTAGGATCTGAGGGAAATTTAAAATAGCTTCATAGAGTAATGTTTTTTATCAACAACTGACACATGTTAAAGCTTCATTGAAATTTGCTGGTGTGACTTTGTCAGAGTATTTAGGGGACCTAAAAGGAGAGTGTTTAAAGTACATTATTATAGTTGTGTAGGTTACTACAGCCATTACCAACCTCTTTGCTGCTAGTTGTCTATACAGTTTTCTCCTATTGATGTTCCATTGAAACTCATGTCACGTTAGGATTTACCTGACATTATTCAATAGCAGCCTTCTGACCCAGGTTGCTCAGAGGCAGTTGAGTTCATCTTATGACAGGATATCATTTTCCTTCCTGTGGAATGCTCCTGTTTTTTCTTTATTTTAAGAAAAAAAATGTTTGCACACCAATATAAGAATGTACATCAAACATTTCAAAATTACTTCAAACAGAAATAGGAAAGTATTTTTTCCTCAGATTTTTATTTTTAAATACTTTTTGTTAAGATACAAATAAGAAACAAAACAGTCATTCTTATGTATTTTTGTACGCATAGTATTTTACCATTTGATTAAAATAATAAAAATTGGCAGACATTCGAGCCAACAGTTACAAGAAAGTAACAAACTATTTAATTAAACAAACTGTAGTCTCAGGCACTCAGTCCCAATTTACACTATGTTCTGATGCGATATTTATGCAAACCATTTCTTCTGTTATGGTATGCTTCCATAGGAATGTAATTTCATCTCCTACAAATGTCAGTAATGAAAGCACACTTTTTGTTAAGTTAGACAGCTAAAAACACGCTGCTGTACCTGGCAGTAGCGAAAGGAAAGCCTTATTTTTAAGGTTGAATGCTCAGTACTCTTGGCTCACCCCTATAAAGCCCTTATATATTTCCCATCGATTCACAAGGACTGTGTGTGCTTATGCCTGTTATCAGATTGGGGCTGGAATATACTCAAGGGGCAACGCTGAGTGTCATGTTGATATTCCAGATTAACTCTGTTAAATAAACCAAATTTATTTAGTTTCTCCTTAAGAATAGATGTTTATCAAATTTAAACAGATCTTCTAGGAAATTCAGGTTAAAACAGTAAAAGTTCTATAGACAGACATCCAAATGCTTTCTTTGACAAAGCAACAGATAACTTAAAAGTATACCCTTGATTATGAGCCTAAATGAGTAAAAATTCCACACTCAAAAAATGCAGCAGGCTACGTATATGAAAGAGGCTTTTGCCAGTTTGGCCATTTTCAATGTAGAGCTATTTTCTGATACAATGCATACTACTTCACTGACAGGCTGAACATAACAAATACTGAAGTATTTTAGAGTCTCCTCATTTTTATTTTAAGAGGTAGAACTAGTAACTATCAGTTTCAAATAGTAAGATGCCACTGTTTTAAGGGAGATAGGTATTTTGGTTCAAAAGCTCTGTGCTAAATTATAAATTAAAATTTTAGATCACTTAATTGACCTGTTACAAATCCAAAATTATTATAAACCAGAAAATGTGTTACTGTAGTCTGTACAAAAAGCCTTAGTTGGTCATTAAACATTACAAATATTTAGTAAAATGTTTCATTCATAACAAATATAGGCAGTACTTACATGGAAATATGAACGTGTTTAAACTGGAGGTGGTGGAGACTATTTTCCCTGACATCTTGATTAAATTGTTTTTTTAGACAAATTCTTCAATTAGGTAGGGGAAATAGAAACCTGGGTAAGTCTGTCACTCAAAACGTTGTGACTTTTGCATCAGTTTGTATTACAGTAGAACCTAGAGACTGCAGCTGATACAATCTTATCCAGGTATTTTACAGTTGGTATCTGATCCTTGTAAACAGGCGAGATTGACGAAGGCTAGTAGAGCTGCCACAATGGGTGAAGCTTGCCCAAAATGTTGGGAAGGGTAGCATTAGAATTATTGTTAAATTCAGGCCACAGGCTGTAGCACAGTGTCCCAGCAGGAGATCTTGCTGTATCTTTGAACAGCATAGCTCTTCCTCTGCTTGATTCTTTACTTGCTGCTGAAGTCTCTTCTGAAAGTTGAAGCAAATATTTGAGCATCCTAAATGTTAATGCCTGCTAGCCTGCTGTTGAACGGTTGTGTCAGCGTGTAAGTGTACACACAAAACCTGTCTCTGCTCTTGTGAGGTATGATACCTTTATGTAGTCATAGAGGAGGCTGGTCTGTTTCACTGCAGATGCTTGTTAAGTTATCTGCACCACCCTTATTTTAGAACCCCTCTTTTCCAAAATTATGATTCTAAATGAAAATAATGAATTTTCAAGACAATTGTATGTTTGCTGGAAGCTACATGAGGGTAAATATCAATGTGTGAGTTTGCCTATTTCTCCAGTTTAAATATCAATGTGTGAGTTTGCCTATTTCTCCAGTTTAGTAATGCAGTTGAGGAACAATTACTAATGTAGGTAATGGCATCAACATATCTAATTTAAATATACCCATCTGGTAGGAGCTACTGAGAGAATGTTTATATATTGCTTTGCAAGGTACAGTTGGTCTTCCAAAATATTCCTAGAATGGGAGCTAGCTGAAACTAGCTTGTTCCACAAAAAAGCTCATTTTTGGTGGTAGAAGCCATATGCACCATTGTACTGTTTCTTGTATAATACTGGAGTGCTCATCTTCTGGTGCTACAGTATGTCTGCTAACTATCTGATACTAGTAATGCTACTTTTTCTTCCTATCTTTTCTTGAATGTATGATGTGTGCCTTTTGAGTTACTCTGGTGTTACACAGTAAAGTGGTGTTATAGTGTATTTGTACATAAAATCTGCACTTTAGAAAAAACATTGCTTAGAAAGGGAATTTCCAGATTTCAATTTTAAAGTAGGATTTTAAAATAATTATAATAAGGTTTACAGTATTAAGTATTTTAATGCAGCATACAAACTAAAGGGGCACTTTATTTTAGTCTATTTTTGTATGTAATATTTTTGTTATGTAATAGAGCTAAAACCAGAGCCTCAGTGTATCTTGCAGAAATAGCTTTTGTTTTTTCTTTCAACTTAATTTTAAAGAACCAAATATGGCAACCTGACCTACAGTACTAGTTCACCAGTGGAACCCACTGCTGTATTAAAAGCATTATTGGTTTTATCATACAAGCTTAACTATGATTTGTGCTCATCATAGCTGTTCTCTTGGTGAATGTTACAACTCCATTCTGCGTTTATCTCCCAGTGCAAGTATTAACCAGAAACCGTTACGGTAAAACGTGTCCTGTGCCTGCTTCATCTCTAGAACATACGTGAAACTAAATCTGAAAACCAAAAGGGAATGTCACTAGAACTGACTTATCCTAGTAAAGCAGAATGGAATGAATTTTATCTATACAAGTCTGGGAAGAATTGTATCATTACAGTTTGATATAAACCCGCATGCCATGCACATTAAATATATCTGAAAGGCCAGTTATCATTTCTGAAAGTGTTTTCAGATGAATGAATCTCATCTCTGAAAGAATAATAGTTCTGTTGTTGGAAATGTGCATTAAAAGATGGACAAATCCAGACAATACAGATTTTCACTGTAGTGCAAACTTTTAAACACAAAAATATCATTTTTAAAATGGCCATTTGGGGAAAATAGTTCTGGAATAATACTTCTGCAGTCATGGGGGGGGGCGCAGATACAATCTTCATGTTCAAATACATGGTGAGAAAGATTTTTGGGTTGATTTCTTTGTTATGCTATTAATCAAGCTGTCAGCAAGAAACCATAGTGCTGGGATCTTGTGTCCTCTGTGGTTATCTGCATTGGGAAGACAGTAAAATTTGGATAGCTGCATAGTTCCTGACCAGACTAAATGTTTTATGCATTTAATTTCCTTTGAAGGGCAATAGGGTATGGTTAATGTTTTAAAATGAAACCTGAACTCAAGGCCCAGAATGCTGCAGCAGATGAATGTAAAAACGTCCATTTTAAAGTGGCAAAAGAATGAGTTGGCAAGGGGTCAAGAAGTAATCATTCCTGAACGTGTTTTCCTGTGTAGACAGGAAGGGGGAGGGAGACAGGCCTGGTGGAAATTGCTGCTATCCCTCATTTTGGGATACGCCCTGGTAGTCGAGTTGTGTTTAAGCACAAAGGGTAAAGATGTTTAAGGAAAATATCATCACTCTTTTAGATAAAACTAAAAGATGTAATGGATGTTGAGTAATACATGTAAAAATATATATCCGCTGAAGTAATAGACCAAAGGGAGATATGAACAATAATTTCTATGCTTAGGATTGCTTTTTTTTATATACTGTTGCTTGCTGATTTGTTTCTTTCATAGAAAGTTCTGTCTGTAAGATTTCTGACCTATGTTTCCAAGTAAACCTTATTTACATTACAAATTATGCTATAATTCAACTTTTCTGAAGAGAATCTTGGTTAGCACCTCCTTGCAAAAGCAAGGATTTTATTCTTTAATAGCTAATAAACATTTTTCTTTTTACATTGCTTTAAAATGCTTTCATTTTTTTCCTTTCTAACTCTGAACTTTCCTCTGTGTGGCTGCCTGTGAGGTACACACTTTCAGGTATAGTTTGGCTTTGTTTAATTTGCTTCTACAGAACATGCATGCAAGTAAACAGTCCCAAAGAGTTCACATCAGCATCATTCCATCTTTAAGCAATCTTTAGACATGAATAAGTGTTATACAGTAATTGGTAGCACAATAGGGCATTTGTGTAATGGTGGGTGATGTTAACTAACACAAATGTATTTAAAACTCTTTTCCTTTTCTTTTTCTACCTAGGAGATGAAATTTATCAGGACATTTTCCGTGACTTTTCTCAAATGGCATCAAATAATCCAGAGAAGCTAAACCGTTTCCAGCAGTCAGATTCCCAGAAGTCTTAAGTGTCAAGAAGAAAAATAACCTGATCCTTGTAGTGCAAGTCATTTTTTACTTTAACAGAATGAATTATACATGTTTTGTTAGATAGTTTGGGTAAAATGACCATTCCAGTGTAGCTTTAGATTGTGGTAGCTGGGGGAAAGTATGAGTTGTTTTATGTTCTACAGTATGTATACCTCAGCAGCTGAAGAAAATGTTTATAAAAAGGAATACCTGCTAGCTCAGTATAAAAACAGTACCTGTTAGCAAAGTGCAAACCTTGTCTGTGGTTCGTACCATAAGGTAGCAGAGCAAAGCTGCGTGCATTGCAGACTCTGGATGGCAGGATGATCAGACCAGCTTTGCTATTTAGTGTCTGCCTACTGTCATCTGTCTCCCTGTTGCTGTAAAGAATGTGCCTCTGACAAGAAGGTCTGGATTGCATTTTCTGGGACTGTTTGGAAGGGAAATCAGGTAACGACTGACTTGGTTGTCCTTCTGTTTGTGGGTCTGTAACTTAGCAGATTCTCTTGTTCCTATGCTGACCCTGGTTAGAGGTAGGCTATTAATAACAAGATGTGGTAATTCCTGTTCTTTTGCAAGCTCTTTCACAGTGGAAGCTTTTACACCAGGCTGGCCTTTATGCTAGTGGCTGCGGGTCAGTCACAATAGGTATATATCCTGGAGGACCAAACTTTTAAGAGCAGTCTATTTACCTTTTGTCTCTTAAATGAAGCTTCCTGTGCAGCAAGTATACTTTTAAGTAAGTATGTGGAACCTTTAATGAAAAATAAACTTAATCCTCTGGACATGATATGAGATTTGTAGTATTTTGACATCAAGACTTGAAATTTGAGACATGAAAGTAAATATTGAGCTAATGGAGTTTGTGTAGAACAAACCTAGAAAGGCTATGTGTTACTTTTTGATGTCTTCACTACTAGCCCTAGGCTGAATATATAAAATCTCTCATGTAATGCAGCCACCCTATATTTAGGGCAATGAGTCATTTATGTTGGGAAGCAGTATCCTTTATATAATCTGCAAAGATGTGTATGTATATCTGTCTAAACTAAAATATGCACAAGATGACCTAGGAGTTTCACTGCACGTTTCGTAAAGTAATGATGAACATAGTCTCCAGCTGTGTTCCGAGGACAGCGACACAACTTGCTTGATTCAGGAGTGAGCTCCACTCTGAAAATGTGCATGCATAAATGGTGTCTCTAGATACATGCTTGTGTCAGGTTATTTAATACCTGGATAGCAATCACCTGAAGCCCAAAACTAGCAAATGCAATTCTTTATGCTCTGTCTACCTTGTGGACAACTCAAAGAGAATTTTTAGGCAGCATAGCATCAATGTGAGGTTTTAATAATCCTAACAGCCATGGCATTATGCTAACCTGCTATTTAAATATAGTCTGGAAATGATTTTTTTTTTTTTTCCTCCAAGCTGGCTAAGATCAGCAAAATTGGGTACAAAAATTCTGTAACCTATGGTAAAATTAAACTTTCTGACATGTTAAATTTTAACAAGACACTTCAAATATTTATAATTTTGCATCAAACATATAATAACGCATCACATCTGGATTATTATTGCTGCAAAGTTAATAGCATTTTAGAATTGTCCAATAGATTCTTTCTCCAAGCAGAAGAATATTACAAGCCATTTGTTACTTCATGTGTGGTCTTATTGTGCTAGGAAAAGCAGAATCTGCCCATTTAAAGAGTCCATATAGTCTGAATAATAAGAAATTTAGGAATATCACCTGTAAGTAGTAATTTCAAGTAAGTTAAATAGCTATCTGAAATGATGATATACTTCCTAATCTGCAGTATTTAGCAGCAGTGGATGTTTTAGTAGACCTTAGAGAAAGTAAAATTCCCAGTGTACAGATGGGACAATGTAACTATGTATAGTATACACTTTAGACATAGTTTTTTCTACAGATTTGTCTTTTGAAGCCTACATGACAGGCATGCCATATGTAGTGCGATTGGCTGTAATGTAAAGCTACATAAAACTTAATGGCATAATCACTGTCTCAATCGATACTGCTGGAAAATGTTTGAGACACTTCCACTAGTATTTTCCTTCTCAGCTGCAAAAATCTGTGACAAATTTTGCAGGATGACTTCCTGTAGACAAAGAAGTTTCTTTCCTGTAGCTCTGCAGATCAGTGTGCTTCATTCCCAAATCCCATCTGTCTGAGAAGCAGTTTCAGTCTATTTATGCCAAAGGACTACTAACATACCTGACCCACAGGTTGTATTACTTCTTGTCAGGAGCTCCGGAGTTTTAATGGTTCAGGGAGTATGTGTGTCACTTCTGATCCTGCAGCCTTGTTCCCCAATCCTTACAGGAACGCTAGGATGTCCTACTTACATTTAGTTAAAGCTTTTTATTTTTTTTTTCCCAGATCAGGTTCAATACATGTTAGTATGTTGCTCATCAGCGAAAATGCTATTAAGTTACATGAAATGTATTGAGGGCTTAGTCCTACGAGACATGGGACAGCTCAGTGCTCTGAAGCCTCTCTAACTCACAGGACTTAACCCCCAATAATAGTACAAAGTGTGATTATCACCAGGGCGCTGAAGATCTGGATTCCATATCAGGTTCTCAAGTGTTAATCTTTTACTCAGTAACATTAGGAAACTTCCATTTTTATTACAATATAAATCTGAGTATAACTAGAATAGTAGACAGGCTCTTTTGTGGGTTATCATCTGCTCTGTACCTGATATTAAAAAGCTTCAATTCCAGTTCATTTTTCTATGTAGGTATGAAATACAGTAGGTTATAATTGGTGAGATACAGAGCAGTTTAAAATCAGCTTTCACATGGATTTTTAGTGATTTACTAGATAGTCCATTGAAAGATGATTTATTTTTCTTTATATATTTTTTCCAGCCAGTGTTATATTATGTGTCCCAAAAGTCTCCTGGAAAGACAGAAGTCCATGAGCTCAACATACATTCTAATGCCCCTTGATTTCAGAGGTGTAATTTACTTTTGTTGCATGTTGATGTCTGTGGCATCTCCTTAGTGGTCTGCATTCTTTTCATTGTTCATAAGGTTTCATATTTTATGTTAATGCCGGTACAGTACACTTATTGTACTGAATTACGCCACTGAAGTATATTAGACATGGAATTTGTTCCTATAAAGTTGGGTGAAGGTGTTAAATTGTAGAAGTCTGTCTTTGCTTCCACAAGCTACAGCTATCGCAGTCCGAACACCTGTTTTGGTTGTTCATTAGCACATTGTGGACTTCCATCTCCTTAGCAATTGGGACCTAATCCAAGAAGTCACTGAAATCAGTGGCAGTCTTCCCCCTGGTTTCAGCAGCATTGTACCTTCTGTGGCTTTTACTGTCGGTGCATTAAAGGACCTGTATGAATACTGCATTTTTCACTTTGGGGTTTTATGTTTTACCTGTTTTTATACTGAGCTGAAACAGTCCCAGAAAATGCATCCAGACCTTTCAATCACTGTCAGCAAACCCCCATACAAGAGGAAGTTTCTCCTGTTTTGCAGTATGCTGTCAGTACGCAAATGTTGTCCAAATTATGAGAGTTCTCCTGGATGGAGCAAAAACTTTGTAGCACTGAAGAAAAAAGGAGGAGAACTAGACTTAAGGGTAGGGTTGGCTATGATGTTTCCCACGACTTTGGTGCTTTTCTGCAGCCATCTGTTTTGAAGCGTGGATGTTAACTCTGCTGCTTCATCATGAAAATCTCAAGTGACACAATATCTGCAAAAGGACCATTTGAAAGTTACAAATGATGTGCAAGTTCTAAGGATGTCATATTTTTACACTGTCAAAAGGACTGAGTGCATTATTCTGATTACTTAATACACTGAAAGTACTTTGAGAGTCAGTTCTGCAAACTGCCCTCTGCCCATTCACAGGTGGATGCCTTTTCCCAAATTAGAGTTCATGCCACTTGTTTGTGCAGCCTGAGACCCGTTAAGGTCTTGCTCACACAGAAACACATTTTTAAAACAGGGACAGCTCCAGCAAGGCAATACTGGGGAAAAGGATGAATAAACCACTGCGTGTTAGCCCCTTTCCTGTGCTTGCTTTACCTTTCTGCATACAGTATTTTCTTGTTTCTCTTCCCATGGAAGGAGATGACAGAGGAGGAAAAAAAAAAACCCCACTCCCTTTTCTGTTACAATGTCAGATTTTCCATGTTTTGATAGAAATCATTGAGAAATCGTTTCCTTTAGTGGAGAGGTTGCTCTGTGTGAAAGAATGATTTTTATTTTTTTCCCTTTTATCCACGTGTCCCTCTGTACTTGGTTTTTAAGCATTCCAGCAGGAAAATGCTTGTGGTCTCCTATGCACTCCTCCCCTTTAAGGCGCAGCTGTAAAGAACTTACAACCATTCAGTCAGGCTGTAGACTTTGTATTTAAAACTTGAATGTAGTTTTCTGTAGCCGGTCGTTGTAAATGAGAGCAGACGCATTTATTACCTTTGTAGCCACTCGACTGTACATCCCGTAACGACTGTAAATACCGGACTTGATTAAACCTTTGTATGCTGTGACCGGCCTCTGACCGGGGTGGCGGTGTCGGACCAGAGGGGCGGGATCGGACCGGGAGGGGCCGTGTCCCGCCGCCGCGGCCCCGCCCCGTGATGGCGGCGCTGTCCGGCGCTGCGCGCGGCTGGGCCCGCTGGCAGCCGTGCGCGCTGGCGGCTGCGGCCGCTCTGGCCGTCTGCGCCTTCTACTACCTGGGCGGCGGCGGCGAGACCTTCTCCAGCGCCACCCGCCGCCTGCGCGCCACGCCGCCCGCACCGGCGCACCGGCACCCGCAGCGCAGCGGCGAGGCTGCGGCCCGCGAGCTGCACCTCCTCATGATGTTCACCAAGGCGGAGCGGAGCCCCGCGCTGCGCGCCAAGGGGCAGGCGGCGCTGCGGTCGCTGCTGCGGCACGGCCGGCTGGGCGGCGGGGACGCGCTGCACATTCACCTCGTCACCGACGGCCCCAGCCGCGACATCGGCCTCGGGCTGCTGCGGGACCTGCGCGGCGCCGCCTTCCGGCACCAGGTGCGGGGCGAAGGCGGACGGGGGGGGCGCGGTCGCGGACCGCTGGGATGCCTCAATGTGGAGCGTCCTCTGGGCTTTGGCTGAGCCGCCTTTCCGCTAGAAGTCATCGTGAGGGGGCTCCCAGCAGCGCTGGTGCTCCTGTTAGGCGAAGGGAGCAGCACTCTAGCAGCTCTCCACAGAGAAACTTTCTCACTGACAGTGCTTGCTCCAGCTCCCACAGCGGGTGTTTGCTTCCCGTCTGTACTGGGGACGGCTGCGGCTCTCCCCAGTGCCCTCCCCAGGGAAGCCTTTGGAGGGCTTGTTGTTCTGTGTGAGCGGAGACCTTGCACTCGCTGCCGCTCCTCGCACAGAGGTGTCCTGGTGCGGGGATTCTCCCCTGTCCGGGGTTCTCTTACCCAGGACCGGCTAGCTGCACGACCTGGGAGCATCTCTAGTAAGCTACTTGTGCTGAAGGACAGCAGTGGCTATGAGGAACGCAGTTTCTCTTTCAGAGACCCTGTCTTCAGCCCCTCGGGAGAAACACCACATAGGCTTGTGTGTATGGCTTCCCAAGTGGTTCTGTGGGACTGTGTTCAGAAAAGGCCTCGCCCCGCTCCTAGAGGCTCTCAATAAAAGGAATGGAGAGCCTGCAAAGGCTGGAGGATTTCCATCCTGCTACCTGCCAGAGATACGGTTCTACCTCCCAAAAATGTAGTCGGTGCAGTCCATGCAGAGTGAAGTTTTCTTTCACATTAAACAAGTGTCTGAAAGCTGGAGAAGCATTAAGTTCAGAGACTCGGGTAACTTGACTCGTGTCCTGAGGTGCTGCTGTGGAGTATTGCTTGGAAGTGCCCTCTACTTCTGCTGTAACTTTTAATTTCTCATCTCTCAGGTATTTAATATTAGCCGAACTCTCCTGAGATGTAACTGGAGATGTAAACTGTGTTGTTCATATTAGATTGTTTGTCGTTGGTAAACAATCCCACCTCTGCTTTTACTTGAAACAGTACTTTAGCAGTGCTGGTGCCTGGTCAGGTCCCATATTGTAGTCGGTGACCTGCACGGTGCCGGCTGTGCTCAGTGGTCTGCAAGGGAGGGGATGTGCACAGTGGCGAGTATTAGAGAGGATCAGATCCTGGTGCAGAACGTGCTGAACACCCACCTGCATGAAGTGCAGAGAGGAGTCTGCTCTGCTGTGATCTGGCCTTGTAGCTGAGTTGGTGAGGTTTGTATAGTGGGAGAAGCAAAAAGAGGCAGAGGCAGAAGTACACAGAGTGGGGAAGGGAGTATATGCAATAGATAGCACGTGATTAATCCTCATTATGGGAGGAGAGCTGGAAACAGGCTCTGCAGTGCATACATGTGGCTGTTGTACAAAAACGGGACAATATTGATTTAAACACTGTTGAACATGAGGGGAGGGCCATGAGGGGCAAAGGGCAGTCATGAGAGGAGGTCATGAGGGGAGATGAGGGGTGGCCATCAGGGGTGAGGGGAGATCATGAGTGGGGAGAAGGAGGGCAGTCATGACGGGAGATTATGAAGGGAAAGGAGGGCTGGCCATGAGGGGAGATCGTGAGGGGAAAGGAGGGGCAGCCATGAGGAAAGGTGGTGAGGGAGAGAAGGGGCAGTCATGAGGAGAGATCATGAGGGGAAACAAGGAGTGGCCATGAGAGATGAGGGGTCGTGTGAGGGGAAGTAGTGCGGGGAGAGGAAGGGCAGCCAGGAGGGAAGAACGTGAGGGGTGAGGAAGGGAAGTTTTGAGGGGAGATTGTGAGGGAAGAGGAGGGATGGCCATCAGGGGAGATTGTGAGGGGAAATGAGGGGTAGCCATGAGAAGTGAAGGGCAGTTGTGAGGGGAGATCATGAGAGGAAGAGGGAGGGCAGCCGTAACAGAAGATCGTGAAGGGAAAGGAGGGCTGGCCATGAGGGGAAAGGAGGGGTGGCTTTGAGGGAAGAGCATAAGGGGGAGAGGAAGGGAATTTGTGAGGGGAGAGGAGGGATGGCCGTTAGGGGAGAGTGTGAGGAAAGATGAGGGTTGGCCATGAAGAGTGAGGGTTTGTCGTGGGGGTTGATCATGTGGGGAGAGGAAGGGTGGCGATGAGGGAAGATGGTGAGGGGAGAGGAGGGGCAGTCATGATGGGAAATACTGAGGGGAGATGAGGGATGGCCATGAGGAGTGAAGGGCAGTCGTGGGGGAGATCATGAAGGGAAAGGAAGGGCGGCCATAAGGAAAGATCATGAGGAAGAGAAAGGGCAGTCATGAGGGGAGATCATGAAGGGAGAGCAAGGGCAGCCATGGGATGTGAGGGGTGGCCATGAGGGGTGAGCGACAGTCAGGAGATCGTGAGGGAAGGTTATAGGGGGGAGCAAGGGCAGCTGTGGGGTGTGAGGGATGGCCATGGTGGGGGTAGTGGCAGCAGCTATGCAGTGTGGGCCACTATGGGGGGCAGATGAGGGGTGGCTATGAGTGGAGATCATGCGGGGCAGCCATAAGGGTTGATCTTGAGGGGAGATCAGTTTGCCCTTAGTGACATGGTTTAGTGGTGGGTTTGGCAGTGCTGGGGTAACGGTTGGACTTGGTGGTCTTGAAGGTCTTTTCCAACCAGGCTGATTCTGTGATTCTGTGTGCCTGTCACAGCGGGGTGGACTCATGCTGCCTCATGGCAGTGCAGTGCAAATGCGGGATGTGGCACCCTCTCTCACGGTTGTGATACTGTATCCCCATGGAGTAGGACATGGTGTGCAGATCCCTCCCAGACATGGTGCACGTGGTGCACTGCTGTCTGCTCTTCTCAGAAACCTAATTACTCCCCTGCAGGCAGTCTTGCCAGCATGTCTCCAGGGGGACACAGGCCTCTGAGCTGAATATGCATGGGGTGGGGCTTGCAGCAGTGTGCCTGTTCCAGGGTGGGCATCTTTGGTGCTGTGGTCTCAAAGCAAAGCCTAGCTGACAGCTTGGTGATTAGGTCTTGGGCCAGAGCTGGGTGTAAGCAAGCAGTATGGTCTGCAGGGCTCAGGTGAGATCTCATGGGGATGTACTCGTGGGACACCTTCTTTCCTCTCTCTGCCCTGGTTTCATTACCTAGCCTGTGACTGGCAGGCAGTTCATTCACTTAACCTGTTTGTGGGTAGAGTTCCTAGTGCAGAGCAGACACTGTTCCCTGATGCTCAAGCGTACAGCCTTGCCCCTAGCTCTGCATAGTTTCTGGTGGGCAAGTGGGTGACAGTGGTCTTTATTTTTGGTGTAGCCTACCCCATTACTCCTCTTTATCAGCAGGAAACATCACCCTAGCTTGGACCTTTGGTGCCACTAAAATGTTGAATGCTCAGGTAGAATCATAGCTCCAGTAGCAACCCATTTCCATCCTAAGACTTCTTTCCTGGTTCACCTGGTGTCCCTAGGACGCTTTACTAGTTCTTATGTTGTTTTCTTACAGCAGGCCCAGAGACAAAGCTTGATAAAACACAGGACTGATAAAATCCCTCAACTTTTTCCTCATGAGGTTGTGATTTGGGTTTTCCCTTTGGAGCTGTCCTTGTCCCACCTCTCAACAGAGCTGGGATTAATTGGGTCCTCTGTTGGAGTGAAGCCCAGGAATCAGACCTGAATCCCAACCCTTGGATAAGGTCACGAGCCAGCTCTTCTCTTTCCCTAAGGTAGTTCAGGAACCTTCAAAATCACCTGGAGATGGAAGGAGCCGGCTGCCGCCTGCCAGGAAGAGAGCAGAGGGGCTTTGGGGTGCACGGCAGTAGGGTGTGTGAAGCAGCTTGGGCCCTAGGACAGGGCAGAGCTGGGGCAATCATGACGTGGCGTTACCGGTCCCACAGTGTCTGTACAGTTGTGTCCCAGATGCGGAGCGGAGAGCGCAGCGTGACAGCGGTGAGCGGCAGATGGAGCTCCTGCTCTGCAATGTGGTGCTCGCGCCGCTGCTCGGTGTGGAGTGGAGAGCGGTGCGGCCTGAGGAAGTTGGCCGGAAAGCACTGCGAGCAGCGGTGCCTGAAGAAGGATTTGCCGCACGCCGGAGCCCAGCGCGGACCTGGCCTTCCTGCCCGTGCCTTGTCCTCAGACAGCCTGGACTTTTACCAGAGCTTCTCCACTGGCAGTTGCAGAGGGCATGTCCTGTCCCGTGGGTTGCGGGTGATCCTGCAGCCTTTCCTGCTTCCCAGCGAGTGGGAAACGCCCGGAGCTAGCGTGGACATGTCCCAGTGACCGATACTGTGCTTACAAAGAGCCCCGACTCGCCCCGTTTCCTGCAGCTCTGGGCTGCGTGCTCCTGACTCCTTGTGCTGATTCATATCGCTTATTTATTCCGTTCCCATGCGAGAATAAAATTAACTGCTCTGCTCACTTCTCTTGCTATTGGCCTATGTAGATCAGCCCTGTGCAGGATGCTGCCAAATGCTGACTCCTCTGTGAGTCTGGTGCTGTGAGAAGAGATGCTAAGGTGAATGTAACTGAGCTTGCTGTGGTTCTCCTCTTACAAGAGAGCTGAAGAGATACCTGGTGTGAGAAGGAG